CTGGGTTTGCCCCGTGTCTCCGAGCTGTGGCGGTGCTGCTTTCATGGTAAGAACCGTGTCTGACCTGGTATTGGACTCTCAGTGTAAACTTTATGTTCCCCATGCAGTGAGTGCTCTGCTTACCAGAGCCAGCACACAACCCTTTCCGCAGCCAGACAAGTCATTATGAATTGTTGCTGCTGTCTATGCCTAATCTTACTATTCACAGATCTCCAACTCTCGATCCCTCTTCTCTCCTTCCTACTGCTGCTGACGGTGAGCCCCATGACTGCCAGGCGACGGTAACAATGACCTACACCATTCGTGAAGATCTCTTTGACACCCTTTGTCTAACCCTGACCTTACCCTGTTCACTGACGGCAGCTCTTCTAGAAACCTGCAGGGCACCCTTGATTCAGGTTGGGCTGTAGTTTCTCCCACTGGCACCATTCTTACAGGTAAACTTCCAGACCACTTCTCTGCTCAACAGGCGGAGCTAGTGGCTCTCACTCAGGCATGTATCTATGCAAAGAATAAATCTGTTAACATCTACACTGACTCTCGGTATGCTTTAGGTGTCTGCCTTGATTTTGGTGGAATCTGGAGACATCGTGATTTCTTAACATCTGCAGGCACCCCTATTAAAAATGCTTCCCTAGTAGAGGCTCTCCTAAAAGCTCTCCTTCTTCCTTCTAAAGTTGCTATTCTCAAATGTGACGCCCATACATCTTCCAAAGATCCTGTGAGCCTCGGTAACGCAAGAGCTGATACTGCAGCAAAAGCCGCTGCGGTGTCAGGAGCCCTCGCTCCCGTGTTGGCGACCTCAACACTGGTTTCTCCCAGCCCGGATCCCTCCGTCCATGACGTAGCTGCCTTACAGTTAGCTGCCGAACCCTTGGAACGATCTCACTGGCAGACAAAATGTGTTCTTGTAAATAATGTATATTACTCTGTCGACGGGCGCCCGTGTTGCCCTCAGTCGCTCCTCCCCTACCTCTTACAGATTGTTCACGGTGACACACGTGAACAAAGGGGGATGGAAGCGATAATTAGACGTGTATGGTATGCAAATAATGTATCCCAGGCATGTGCTGATTTTGTACAAAGATGTGCCATTTGCCAACAACACAACGTTGGAAAGACAACAAAAGTGAAACAAGGTGCTCATCCTGCTCACCAGGACCATTTTCAAATTTACAGATTGATTTTATCCAAATGCCAAAACACGGACGGTTTCAATACGTCCTGGTCATGGGACACATTCTCAGGATGGCCCGAAGCTTTTCCTACTGCAAAAGCAGACACAACAGCAGTATCAAAAGCCTTACTCAAAGAGTTCATTCCAAGGTTTGGTATCCCAGTATCCATTAATAGTGACAGAGGGACTCATTTTACTGGACAAATAGTGCAAGATGTTGTTACAGCACTAGGAATCAAACACCACCTGCACACACCTTACCATCCACAAAGTGCAGGGAAAGTTGAAAGGTTGAACCAGACTCTGAAACTCAAACTAGCTAAAATATGTGCACAGACACAACTTAGCTGGCCGGAGGCTCTTCCTCTGGCCCTGATGAGTATCAGAGCTACTACTAGCAGACGTAATCATTTATCTCCATATGAGGTGATTACAGGACGAGCCATGAGCACCCCAGGATCTCTGGGCACTATGATAGTGCCTCAAGAAATGGCCCTGAGACATGATAGTGTACTAAACTATTGCAAAGCGTTGCACTATGTCTTCTCATCCATTCACAAACAGGTTCGTGAAGGACAACCACAACCCCTGAACGAACCAGGACATCCACTGCAACCAGGTGACTACGTGGCTATAAAGATCCACCAAAGGAAGACTGCACTGCAGCCCCGGTGGACCAAACCTTATCAGATTCTACTCGTCACAAACACCGCAGTAAAGGTCGAAGGTCGACCTACATGGATCCACGCATCCCACTGTAAGAAGGTAACACCACCTGCTGCAACGGCTGACAAGACAGCATTAGAGCGTTGAGGAATTAGTCGACAGGAGTGTACGACGTGCTCTGCTCCTACAGCAGGCAACATGGCTCCAACTCCAACCCTCCTGCCATTGACTGAGAGGCAGCCACGCGGTCAGAAGAGATACAGGCCCAGATCATGGCATCCTTTTAGAAATCATAAAGGCCTGTGTGGCCTCCGAGGCACGACAGGTATCCTCCTAATTTTTGCTAGCATTGTGCTAGCACCTTGGTTATGGTATCAGCTGCAAGAAACTAACACTAAATCTGTAACCACTCCCACTAAACCCTCTCTCACCAACTCTACAGCACCCGATGTTAACACCACTTTTTCTCCACAGCAACAACCACGTGAAAGACGGTCTGTATCCTCTACCACTGTCTCTTGTTTCACACCTTCTCCCAAACAAACTCATAAGACCATTCCTCCTAGAAATCAGACCTCTAGCAGGCCTGACCTCCCTTAGTGAAGAAATGGCTGAAAACTCAGGTATAGATAACCCTTTCTCCTCATTGATGAGCAATTTGTTTGGTAAATGGAAAGGTCTAATTATGTCTGTCCTACTTTCAATTGCAGTCATGGCTGCGATTCTCATTCTCTGTGGTTGTTGCTGTATCCCATGTATTAGAGCTCTTATGACTCGCTTGATTGACTGTGCTATTTCACCCCCACATCCTGAAGATGCTGTGCAAAATTTCCCGCTGCTAGCGGTTAATGGTGATGCTAATGACGCTGATGATGAAAATGAAGGCTACCCCGATCTCAGTTTCTTCCCCTTTGATGAGTGATGTGTGAAGAATGTTTTATGTTTTATTTTATTTTGTTTTATTGTAGTTTGTTCTAAAGAACAAAAGGGGGGAATGTGGAATCTTATATTCTTTATACTTTTATGTTTGCTCATTAACTGATCCAATGCATTACACATAGCATTACACATATCACGTATACATGCACCGTGTCCTTATATGACCACTGCAACACACAAACCTTGCACGATACTCACCTCACCACAGGTGTTTTATCTCACGTACACAGACTCAACAACAGCTCCTTATAAGGACTATTTTTTAAACTCTCAAGGACAAGTTACTGCTACATTCACATATTTATACACTGACCACAAGGTGCTGACACAGATAAAGCTGCACCTGTTTCTTTGATCCTCCTCTGTAAGTTTCGATCACACTATATGCTCAAGTATATAAAGATTGTACGCCCCAAGAGCGGGCAGAGAACTTACTTTGTGTATCCTGTACGCATAGCTGAACTTCTCTCCATGCTGCATGTAATAAACTGGGTGACTTAGCAACTCAACAGTTTCTGAAAGTCTCTTTTATTTGCTCTCGTCCCAAGGTTCGGAGGGTTTTCTCTTTCTGCTGATTTTCTGCAGGCACAGTTCTACCACATACCGTTCATTAGTTAACAGAGACACATGAATATATATCAGTATAAAGATAAAGTAGAATAAAGTGATTGTAGTGCATGAAGACCAAATAAAGCAGAAGGCAGTTAAGGTGTATGGCATGTAGAAAAAGGAGGTAGATACATTGAACAAAGTTCATGTAGTGTGGAAAATAGTAGATATTGTATTGCACATAAAGCTCAATGATGACAGTGTTATCCAGCTTTTATCAGTACTGCTCATATGGATGACTGAGAAAACCTGGTGACCGGTTTACAGACAGATTGAACACTTACAGTTTTGAGTGTAAATGAGTCCAGGGTTATACTACAGTGTCGGACTCAGAGGGAGGAGTTATGAGTTATCAGAGAACCTATTCATGAAAATATTCAACCAGAAGATAAGCCAGCAAGGCCACCATACTCCAAACATTGAACACCTTCTGAAAGTTAAGCTCCAGGCGCCCCCTTGTGTCTCTGAAGAATAATGGAGTCCATCCGCTCCTATTTCCTCTGTGATCGGAACAGACATACAGTCCCCAAAGAGCACAAAATAAGCCATAACATGCAATTTAACAAAAAGACTACAAACTCCCTCCTCAAAGTGACCATGGGTTTAATAAGACATTCTGACGCAGCTCACTCATTATAATGATGCACTTCACTCTCAGTCTGGTCACACACTCAGTGAAAGCAGGAAATTACGAAGAGCACACAAGCAGCATGTCTGCAGATAAGAAGTTCTTTCAGTTGCAATAATAGTTTACAATGTGAGAGAGAGACAACAAGAACAGAAAACGATGTAAAATGTGAAAAGAATGAGAGAAGGTGTTTAGCAAATGCAGCCTTCAGCTACCACAAATACTTTTTAAAGGTGACATATTCTCCACCTCTTCAACCAGTTTAAATAAGTCTCAGAGCTCCTCAAAACATGTGTGTGAAGTTTCTTGTTCTAAATCCAGTCTGATCATGTCTATAAACCCCTCTATTTCAGCCCTGCTTAAAACAGACTGTTTCTGTGTCTGTACCTTTAAATAGGTAAAAGAGCTGTGTCTGACCACACCCCCTCTCTGGAAGGGCTTGGGTGTACTTCGGCTTTCTCGCTCCATGTCCAATTGTTTACGGTGAGAAAGCAGACTCAGAGGGCAGAACAACCACCTAGCTGTGGGAGTGTCACCCACCTGGGGGAAGGGTTACTGCCCTTTGTGATTTCATGAAGGGAAAATCTCCAAACAGCCTGTTTAAGCACACATTTTCTGAAAACTTTGTTCATCATTGGGGGGTTTGTAGACAGACTAGAGACACATATTGGAGTTAGAGAAACATGGTGAAGTGGATTTTACAGAATATTTGACCTTTTAAGGCATCAAATGTGGATTAGTCTGCAGATGAAATAGTCCCACTCTAAAGCAACATTTCTCTTTTTTGGCAAGGTTTTTTAAAAACTATAAAACTGGAAATCACAGAGCCCCTGTTTCAGAAGTGATGCTGAGCTTTATTATTTTTAGAAACATTTTTTAGGGACCAAAGAGGAGAGAGAGTTTTTAGTAATACAGTCACATTTAAAAAAAAAAGATCAGCCTGTCCCTTAAAATATAAATAACGCTGAAAAGAACAAGTTCCCCTTTGTGTTCCTGGTTTATTAGAACAAGTAAACCCTCTGATCTTTTAAGACAAGAAGCAATAACTGAATCCTCTCCGCAGCTAAATCCAGAACCGTCTCAGCCTCCTCCTCTGTCTTCGTCTCTCTTCAGCCTCCTCCTCTTCCATCAGAAGCCGTCTCTCCACCTGAGGGGAATAACTCAGAGGATCAGTGTAATCACAAGTCAAACACCATGTGTCATATTGAGCTGCACAGTGGAAATTATCCCCGCTTCCCCCTCACCGAACTCTGCTGCTGGCTTTGAAACATGTCTCATCTGTCCGTGTACTCAGAGATAATTCACTTTTACATCAGTCAGATTAACTGTAACTTTAGGAGAGTGTTGCACCAGCCGTCTCTTCACAGGGAGGTGGGGATGCCGTCATCACAGAGTATATTTTAAATGTCTTACAGTAAAACCTTCTCTGTCATGAATCCTCTGACATTCAATCTAAATTAACTCAACAGAAAAGTGAGAAAAAGTAAAATAATACAACAGGCGACCAGGAGGCATCCTGATCAGATGCCCGAACCACCTCAGCTGGCTCCTTCCAATATGAAGGAGTAGCAACAATCGCGTTTGTCCTTGTTTGCTTGTTTTAAAGGTCACATATTTTGCAAAATCCTCTTCTCCATGTTTCTCTAACACTAATATGTGTCTCTAGTCTGTCTACAACCCCCCCAATGATGAACAAAGTTTTCAGAAAATGTGAGCTCAAACAGGCCGTTTGGAGATTTTCCCTTCATGACATCACAAAGGGCAGTAACCCCTCCCCCAGGTGGGTGACACTCCCACAGCTAGGTGTTTGTTCTGCCCTCTGAGTCTGCCTTCTCACTGTAAACAATTGGACATGGAGCGAGAAAGCCCAAGCACACCCAAGCCCTTCCAGAGAGGGGCGTGAGATTTAGCTAGTAACAGAATCAAGTGTCTGATGATGACGTAGTATTGATTTGGTTTGGACAGTGAGTACATAAAAATAAAAACAATGTTTCATAAGTAAGTGAAACTTCTGAGTCAACATGTTGGCAAATAAGAGCACTAATCTCTTAACATCTAGAGGAGTGGGGACCTGTCTGAAAATGACTAAAACTTAACGAGTCGCTCTCATTGGATGATTATAAGAGCATGCAAAATGACTTGGAGGCGGACACATCTGGCTGCAGATGTTCTCTCGGATGTTTTATGGTTGCTTGTCGTTTTTCAGAAACTCTAATAAAGTCAAATTAATTTAAAAAAATCCAGGGTTCAGAAAATAGTTGACAAAATGAGCAGTACACATCAATATCCTTCGGAGCCCCGGAATCCCAAAGAAATAAAAAATATTCTCTTTAGTTTTTTAATTTGTTTAATTTTTGGGACTACGTGATATCCTGTGTAAACCTTTGTATGAATAATGTGGAGGGAAATTGTTTTTTTTTTTTGTTGTTTTTTTTAATTATTACGATTTCATCAATAATACTGCATCCTGCGATGACGCGGTCCACGCAGATCGCCTACCGCGCCTGCGTATTATATCATGGTGGCTCTGGCTGTTCCAGCTGGATAAGTTGTGAGGTTATAAACATAGTTAAGTTTAAATGAAACAAATGGGTCATTAAGTCCGGATTTTGTCCACTCTTTGAACTCTAAACGGAGAGTTCATACGACAGAAACTGAGGGGAAATCATGACAGCGAACGAGGATCAGGAGGTATGACTGGATGTTCCGTTAGCTAGCTGCTGTTAGCGGCTAAATGCTATCCAGTTGACACAAGCGTGACTGCTAGCATGTTAGCCTGAAAGACTTTATGCTCATTATACAGCAGAATGAGTAAACACATTTGATTTTATTCAATATTCAAGACCTCTATTTAGCCAACAACAGTCAGCTCGCAGTGTCAAATGTCTGTAGCTGCGCTTAAGCGCTAATTCCTAATGGAGAATACGTCACGCCAAATTCCGTTTAAAATATTGTTAAATTAATAGTTTTTGATTAAAAGACATTTTTTGGACAACAACAATTTAAATCGTTTTCTAATCACTTAAAAATGTTATCGGGGAAATTCGGCTTCTAGGTTTGTTATTACAGATCAACATAATGCTAATTACACAACGCAGTTCAACTGAGGCCAGCTGCCTCCACATCCTGTAAAAACAAAGGCTTACAGGTAGATAAAGGATAGAACTAGTGTCTGCTATTTATTGCCTGGAGGATAACATGTATGTTTGAGCTATAAGTGACAATTATGTCGTTTTAGAAGCCCAGTCTTGGTTCTTTCACCGTTTTTTTAATTAATCTTTTTTTTTTGAATGGGGTTTGGTGGGCAGTGGTTTGTTTTTATATCTTCTAACCTTGTATCTGACTCTCTTCTCTCACAGATGGAGCTGGAGGCTCTTCGCTCCATCTACGAGGGAGATGAGTGTTTCAAGGAAATCAGTCCAGTATCCTTTCAGTTCAGGGTGAGTACTGTCAGATTAAAAAGGCCTGAATTCAGGAGTAGGCATTTTAAGACAATGTTTGATTACTGCTACTTTAAATGACTGTGCTACATAGTCTATAATTAATGATCTGATGGCATCTTGGTGCTTTTATTTTCATGGTATTCATCAGATAGGAGAGCTCGAGGACACCAAAGCCTTCCTCCTGGACGTCAGCTGGCCGGAGACGTACCCCGAGACATCCCCTCAAATCACCCTAGATGCCTTCTTCAACAACAGAATGTAAGCTGCATGCACAGCGTTGTTTTATCAACTAGTCTGTAGCGTAACTGAAGGCTAGCAATTATTTGGTTTGTCAAAATTAGGCACCAAGGTCCTTCAAAATCTCAGGGCAGACATTATATATTTAAGGCCTAAATTAAATACGAAAATCACCTCGGTTTGTCAGATATGAGAGCAGTTATCAGGTCAACAGGTGTTGCAGCGATGGAAGAGGGCAAGAGAAGTGGTTCAGATAGAAGTGATTGTACCCGACCTAAAAAGCCTCTGCATGTTTCTAATAAGCTCCACGAGCAGAAACGTGCTCAAACTAGGATCAATATTGGAGATGCTTTGAAAAATGGAGAGAGGTTAGAACACAGAAAGGTTTACAGACCGATGCAGAGCTGGATAAACACTGAAGCTTCAGTATTCACCACATGGTGACCTGTGAGAGCATCGACTCTAGAGAGGAGGGGGCGGGGGGAGACAGCTCTCTACAATGTTTAGAATTTGGACTGCAGTACCCATTTTAAATACTAGGTGTCAGAGTTACACACTGCTCCTTTAAAGCAGAGATAAAAAAAAAAAGCTATGCTGGTTAAAAAAAAGTTGTGCTTGTTCTCATTTTGTCAGACAAAGTGAGAGCATTCATTCAATTTTAAGTTCAAATGTCCTAAAACTTTAAGTCCATGAAGCAAATGTTAAATGAGTCAAATGTGCCAGTGCACAGAATGAAACACAAATTAAACATGTGAACTAAAGGCTGTGTTTGAATACCTTGTGTGAGATGGGAGTCTTGAAGTTGTGAGTTTAAAGAGGGCGCTGAGGTGTTGAAAGTCAGTCTAAGAGGATCTCACAACTGCACGATCATCCAGGAAGTAAACTTTAAAACTCTAGCAAAATAAATAACAATCCGCCAACTCTTGTTGTCCACAAGCACGTCCTCTTAATCCTGGGCAGCACAAAAACTTTACACTCCTCCTGAAATCCAGCAAACACTCATCCATGTGTCAGTCCTTTTGTCTCCCCTCACACACACACACACCGACAGGTCCCAGGTGCTAGCAATCACCTCTCTCTCCTGTGCTGGGCCACACCCACTGCCTCACAGAAGCTCAGCTTCAACTTCATTTGTCCCCGAAGGGCGGGCTGGTTGGTTTTGCAGCAGGGTATTAAAATGACTGAAAAAATACATTTTAAAAAGCTAACGAGGTAAAAATGTTAAGAGGCATTGAATGTGGAAGCTTTGGAGAAACAACCGAGATCCTTGAGTGAAGCTCTGAGCAGCTTCCATTACAGACGGAATAAAGTGCTGAGTCAACAAGAAATATAAACATGTCACTGTTAAATATGAATTCCTAGTAGTAAAACTCACAAGTACACATTTTAACACAGTCAGATACATCCATTATCTTTACCTCGTTTTCCCATTTGGGGTTGTGGGGAGGCTGGATCCGATCCCAGCTGTCATTGGGCTGAGAGGCGGGGTTACACCCTGGAATGGTCGCCAGCCAATCACAGGGCTGACATATAGAGACAGACAACCAGACAACACATGAACGGGGAGAACATGTAAACTCCACACATACACACACATACTTAATACATACTATACAAAACCAAAATAATATAATATTAGCCTGCATACAGAAGAGAGAGGTGAAAATGTTTCCGACACAAACAGACCAAAGCAACACAGCCGAGGTCGGATACAAACTGAAACAATAGCATCATCATCACCGGTACCAGCATAACCAGCCCAAATATCTCTGGCACTGGGGGGGACAAAAGAGGGCCTGTATCTGTTGTTTTTTTTTTACCGAGGAAGGAAGTAACTGAAAGGTGAAGGGGGTGAGCACAGACAGCCTTCAGGGTGTCTGCTACGATTCTCTTAAGCTTTGGATGCTGAAGTGAAATCATAATATGAAATCAAAGTCTGGAAACACTTTGTGCATTTAACCCTGACAGGTCCTAAACGGTGTCCGCTTGTTGTCACCTTGATGCTGTATGTTTGGAGATGCTGTTTTTTCACATAACTGTGGTGTGGTGTCTCTCCAGCTCTGCAGAGACGAAGCAGCTCATCCTATCTCAGCTGGAGGAGCAGGTGGAGGCTAACCTGGGCACTGCCATGATGTACACTCTGTTTGAGTGGGCCAAAGAGAACCAGGAGAGCCTGATGGAGAACCACAAACCTGTGGTCACTGCTGTGGTCAGTCTAATGAACCAATACTACAACTACAACACCGTGACAGGGAACAAGCAGCACTGATTAGTCGGTCTGAAACTACTGTGGAAACAATGTGTTTGTTATAATCTGTGCATGATTTAAATTTGTATTTGCACGACACCAATGCTTGACGTATAATCCAAACAACAACAAAGACACGGTCCCATATTCGTCATCCACTCCCCTGTACTGTAAAGACTTTATCACTGTTGTACGGAACAGCCAGAGTCGTCAGGTTTCAATGAAATAGCTTGCAGATATTTCTTGTTGTTGCAGACGTCGCTATCGAGCGGTGACACGACGAACGCTGCCTCCACGACCAAGAAGAAGGAGAGGAAGGAGCAGCTGACGAAAGCTCAGAAGAGGAGAATCGTCAGCAAAACAGGTTCATAAGTCACACGTCTCACAGTACTGATACTGAGCATTCTCAAAATCTCAAATCAAGCAGTAGGGTAGTCGAGCTCTCAGCCTGCAGGGAAAGTTGTGAGGCACAGACTCCTAGCTTGCGAGCTCTCTGTCCGACTCCGCTGGTCACTCTTTAACTTTAATACAGGACTCTTTCAATCAAAAGAGAACTCCACAAGGTTTATTTATGGAACAATTTCCCACTGTTTTCAGTAAATGCACGATTAAGACCTCGTGAGGGAGAAAAGTCGCGCAGCCAGCCCGGTCCGTGTCGCCGTCTTTCCCAGCACAGCGAGCAATCAGCTTTCAATACACAATGAATGGGGATGTGTTTTTAATCGCATCGGGTTGCAGTTATTGTCAGCAGCACCCGTGGTAATGACGGCGCGTGTCAGCATTTTATTTTGGTATATTGGTCACACCAGTGTAAAAGACGCAGCCAACTTTTAAGACGGAGAAATAGGTATTAAAGTGCGTCTAATTCAGCGGATTTTACGGTACTAAAGGTAGTGAATGTGAGACAGAGCTGTAGCCTGTTCTGCTGGTCGAGCTTCGATTCTGCTCAGCCTCTCTGATGCATCCTGTCCCTTTGGATTTGACTTTCTTGTTTGGTTTCAAGACGAATTGAAAAGTGATTTGAACAGCCAGACATGGACTCACCACAACATCTGGCGTCTAAGGCTCCGTGTCCGTCGGATGTTTTTTGTTTCAGGCTGAAAAGAATGCCAGCTGGATGAAGCCTTTTTGTTTTTAAACGTTGATGAAACTTCGGATCTTCACAAATCAAATTCAAACCGAGTTAATTTTTCTCTACAATCTGTGGCTCTTAAAGTCAAACTTCATGCTGATGGGATCTCTGCTTGTGGAAATGATCTTATTCAAACTCTGATGATCTCTGCTTCCAGATAACAAAGGAGAACTGCCAAGAGGATGGAACTGGGTGGACGTGATAAAAGTAGGTGCTTTTCCTCATTTTCACCACAAGATGGAGCGCTTACTGTGAAAAGCATCTTTAACCTTTTCCTTATTTCCTCTTTCTTCCTCACATCACCTCATCCTGATCCTGCAGCATGTGAGTAACAACCAGCGGAATGAACTTAAAATCCTGACCACAGCTCTGTAGTTTCCCATCATTTATTATTCTTTTTCTTCTCAGCTGAGTAAAACAGGAGGAAAGGACGACGAGTAGCTGGGCTCGCTGTGATCTGCTGCTACATGATGAACTGAACTCTGTGCAGCCTGTCGATGCTGCAGATCCCGCCTCCATGCTGTCACATCCTTCAACAGAAACACTCAACATGTCCGCCCGCCCTCCACCCTGAGGAGAGGAGCAGACCCTCGGCAGACCAGTTTTCTGTTAAATAAGCCGCTCAGTCTGCCGTCAGGGTGCCGGACAGTTTCCTGTCACTGCCGTGTTTCTCAGGCCGACGAGCCGTAAATGTTGGATAATGTTTGGTAATGGATGTGTCAAAGTGTCGGGAAGCTTCCTGCTGTTGCGTTTAGGTATCATGTGACTCTGTGAAGGCAGAGAGTTTTTAAAAACACACAAATGTTACACCTCTCACCTGTCTCTTATTCTGACAGCTGATTGGTTCTGCCCAATGTTTGACAAACCTAACATTTTTATATTTAAATAAAAACAGATGTGGTCTAAGTGTTGTCGTCAGTTTGAATCATTCTGAGATTTTATAGAAGAGAGCTGAAGACCGGTCTCCACAACACTTGTCTCGGTCTCAGACTGGGCCGCCACCACTGATCATCTATTGGTCCACGTCATTACTGTGATTTGAAGGAAAACGCCTCTTTCTAAAAGATCATCCATCCATAATCTTGACTGCTTTTTTTGTTCTGGGTCGCGAGGGCTAGAGCCAATCCCAGCTGTCTCATTGAGCGAGAGTCGGGGTTACACCCTGAAATGGTCACTCACTTAGACTGTAACACCGGGAAGGTTGATAAAAATCCAACTACAAATAAATTGAAGTTATTTATAGTTTTAGAGGGCAGTGGTTAGCGCTGTCCGCTCACTGTCCCGTCTGTCAGGAGTCTCTCTGTGTGGAGTCTGCATGTTCTCCCCGTTCATGTGTGGGTTCTCTCCGGGTACTCCGGCTTCCTCACACAGTCCAAAAACATGCTCGTTAGGTTAACTGGTGACTCTAAATTGCCCGGAGGTGTGAGTGTGGCTGGTTGTCTGTCTATATGTCAGTCCTGTGATTGGCTGGAGAACGGTCCAGGGTGTAACCCCACCTCGCCCAATGACAGCTGTAATCGGCTCCAGGCCCCCCAAGAGCCTGAACGAGAAAAGCGGTAAAGATAATGAAAAGATAGATTTTCTTTTAGAAAGAGGTGTTTTCCTTCTAATCAGTTATCTTGTCTTGACCGGTCTGGATTTAAAATCCAGAGTCCACCCAGTCTGAGACCGAGACTAGACAGAGAAAAAACGCTTTAGATTCCTAGACGAGACCTAGACCTTCAAAAAGCGAATTCGAGACCGGTCTTGAGACCAAGACTGATTCAGGTACTGCGTCACCAGGTCATGAAGCAGACGCAGGTTGTCTTGCAAACTTTCTGAAGAACGAGGCAGACAGTGAACGAAGACACGGGAGAACCCAGACGTGCTGTTGTTGCAGAAACAGAGCAGAGAAGTGGACGACTATACTTTGTTTTAATGAATATAAAAAGAAATGTACACAAGAGTGAAAATGAAGCAATAAAAACAGAAAGTCCACAAACATGACGTGTTGTTCCAGTGTCCAGTCGACAATCGTCTCCTCCTTAAATATCTCTTTGTAAACATAAAACACGCCGAGGTCACGCTCTACACAACATTATCGTACAGAGACATTAAAGAGAAACGGAGCAGAAATATATCCTGATTGAAACGGGGGAAATAAACCAAAGGATGCGTTCTCTTCTGTCTTTCTTTTCAGTTAAAATAAAAACCCTCGGAGACGTCTGGAGTCTCGAGGACGACGGCAGCGTGAAGCTGATGATGTCACGTCCGCTCCTTGATTAATAATAAGCGCTGCTACTGACGGTGTTGGATTGTGCTCTAACAACATCACGAGTACTGTTTTCACTACGGCCGGCAGTCTGAACCCTGCAGGACGCCTCACTACCTCGACCTGCGGTCCTTTCTGTTTTTGTCCAGGCTTTTGTCCATCGTCTTTTCGTTGTCCCCCCGGCACTTGGGGCAGTACCACTTCCCCTTGGGCTTATACGTGAGCCCCACGCAGGAGAAGTGGAACCACTCGATGGGGCACTGGTCGTTGTCGCAGCCGATCATCTCGCCGTACGACACCTGCTCACAGAGGCAGTATGTGGGCTCGTTGGGGTCGATGGCGAAGTCGACGGGCGAGGCGTCCCGCTCCTGTTTGCTCTTACGCTTCTTCTTCTTCGCAGACTTTGACTTCTTCTCCCGGGGCGGAGGGATGGACAGCTCCTCCACGGGGTCGTCCACCAGAGAGCCGTTGGCCGACGGGTGGCTCGAGTCACGGCTCTCGCTGTTTCGTTGGCGTCGAGGTCGGCGGGCTGAGGTGCGTTCGGGAGCGGGGGAGTCCTGGACGCTAGAGCGACGCTCCGCGGGGAGGCGTTCGGCCTCGCTGGGCTCCTGCAGCGACAGAGAGTGAGAGTCCATCTGACGGGAGCGGTTCTCCACCAGCTCCGTCATCTGGGTCACCACGTGGATCTTCTCGTCGCCGAGCTCCTGGCTGGTGATGAGCGCCCTCTGCAGCAGGACCTGCAGACGCTTCCTCTGCGCCGCGTCCTGCTCGCCTTTGTACTTCTCAAACACTTCATCCACCTCCTGCAGCACCTCTGACAAAAGACAGGATGCAGACTCTTTTACTCATCAATTAAACTTTCAATCAATACATCAAAATATATCAGAAATGATTCATCAACAGCGGAGTTCTAGTATCTAAAATAATCTGCTCTCAATGAGTCATCGGTACAAAAACGTTGGAAAGCCGGGGTCAGAGGCTTCAGCCTGCAGGCGGTAATGGCTGCAATGTCATCCTTTAATTATCTGACGTGCTCACACTGTTATTTTAAGTGTCTGCTTTTAAACCTAAACCCCATTTTCAGCACAATTTGGGGTCTTATGGTGCATTTATGTGGCGTCGGACATATAGGAAAAACTAGTTGTAAACTGCACATGAACACCTGCTCAAGGAGGAACAACTCGGAAACTCTGAAAAGAATTACATGCCCAACTTCCTGACTTGACGTCAGAATCGTCATGACCTGGGGGGCAAAATATGTTTAGTAATGTTATCATACTTTTTATCAATCTATCAATTGCAAATCAACTTTTTGCTCAAATATAACTTTTTAACACTGACCAGCTTCGTAGCATCAACGCTGATTTGTGCTGTTGTTACAACATTCAGACTTTACGATCTGAAATCAAGTGAAGTCACTGAAGTCGGAAGAACGACTTGGAAACTTGGACCACCCGAGCAGCATGTGAATGCAGCATAAATGTTACAAAAAGTGAACCACAGAGAAACCTCCAGTAATGGCTGCAACACAATCCCAAAGTTAGTCCACTAAACGATGTAGGCTCAGGTTGTTATTCTAAGCATTCATTGCATTTAAAGAGACACACACATCAAAACGGAGCGTTCTGAGAGAGCTGGTTTATACAGGGTCACAAACCTCCTCTGGTGCTTGATTCATGTTATATTTTGACCAAATCACAGCACAGATGTTTCATTTAGACCACAGGGGACTGTTTGAAAAGGTGGAGAAGGGGGATAATGTGTCCTCTTTAAAAGTTAAAAACTTAGGAAGAGTGTATCCATCAGGGGTCAGTCATGCAAAATAAAGGACGTCGTCTGTAAACATTAAAGGAGGAGAAGAAGAAGTGGGAGGGCTAGAGCTGCAGGAAATGACGGCGGTGAGATGTTGAAGGGGGGTTGCTTCAGAGAAGAGGAGCTCTCCTCTCCGGCTCTGCAGCTCACAGTCGACGGGGCGGAGCGGAGTGCAGAGACGGTGTGAGCCCTCCGAGATGTCTCGTTTTATAACAATCCTAATATAATGCATCGCCTGTTCCTTCTGTGTCATTCGTACAAGTGTGCAGGAGGTTATATGTAACAGCGGCTGGTTGCCAACTGCAGCTTAACCGTGCGTCAACATCAGCAACAATGAGGGTTGTTTGTGTTCCTCCCCCTGGTCATCGGGAACATTAATGAACACATTTTATAATCTACACAACACTGTTATTCCTTATTCTGAATATCGGCATGCATTACGAGAACCAAGAAGCCTTTTCTCCCGATGAATACTCAAGTTTATTCATTGTTTTCACAGTAATCCTCCGCGGTGGCACCATAGTGGGCGGTAGTGTGTACATACTGAAAAAGTTGGGATTTAACCATTTATTAAAGATAGATTTGAATTAGATTAATGCCGAATTATTCAGTGAACACTAATGATTCATATTATATCTTGGATGAGGTTATAAATAATGTGTCCGGAAGAGGCGAGGGAGAAATACGAAATTTAGGCATTTTCCGAAGGGAGTTTGGTGCAAGGCACAAAACAGCACGGACTGTAACTGGGCTATGCCTCCTTATGGATTGCTGACTTTTTCAAAAAGATAAATAGGTCGTTTAAGTTGTCGAACACATTTCGGTTAATCGAATTAATCGTTTTGGTCGTACAGCTGTAAACACAGGGCTCGGGCTTTTCCGTGAAATGGGAACACAAGGGTCGCGCCTGCTCCACCATTTCAGCTCAGCCTGCCAGACCGCTGTTAATGTTTGCCCGTTTTTAAAAACACACAGTTGTGATTAATGATAGAAACGCTGGTACCTTGATACTTTGCGTCGATTTCTCGGAGCAGGGAAACATTTCTTTGTATGTCCAGAGGCAGGGACTCCACACACTCCAGGTAATCCTCCACATAGTTGACCAGTTGCTGCGACTTGTCTGCTGTCGGGTAGTGATGGCCTAACATCGTCTCTGCGATGCATAGAGGCGCTGAAACAATATAGAGGAAATGTGAAAAATATTCTGTTAAAAAAACCAAATGCTTGTTGGCGACTTTGCAGCTTGTAGGGCAGTCCCAGGCAGCAGTTCACTTCAAACAAAACTCCAGCCACTGCGCATGCGGGAGTATTTTCCTTATATGGTATTGTACAGTTTCCTCGCGCTTGTCGTCACGGGAGGCTGGACCAGATGGGTTTGGAGCAGCAGGATTGGCGGAGAGTGACCTCATTATCATAACTTTTTTCCCGGGAAATTAAACCAATGGGGGAATTGAAAACACAGAGTTTCCATAGTTTAGACGGAGACCAAATGTGTTTTTGTTTAAAAGTCGACCAAATACGCAGATAAAAGTACAAAGACAAGTTTTATGTCTTCTAAGTCTTTGAATTGAATTCAAATTAAACAGTTTTTACGCCATGTTTACTCTGATATTCTCTAAATTTTGACAGCAAACACCTGTAATCTCATTTAGCCTACTGTCATGAGAAGCAGCAGGTTCTCATATTTCCTGTTTTTTCCAAACAGCATGTGACGTGAGTGAGTGTTAGCAACTTTAACCAATTAATGGCACATATTGCAGATATCCCAGTATCACACAGTAGCGCTTGGTAATATTTTAATTTGTTATAATTTGGCGCTTTGTTAGCAGTTTATTAGCTAACTGTAGCTAACAGGTTAGCTTAATATATTGTTCTAACTCTGAATATAGCAATTTCACTGTCAATTGTCTCCTCAGCAGGGGTGCTGCTTGTCAACAGGCAAGGCAGGGGCCCCAGACCAGTAGGGGGCCCCAGAGGGCTGACAAACTTTGGACCAAAGCAGCAACCCAAAATGTGAACATTTTGCAATGACAGAAGAAAACTTCCCTAAAGGGGCCCAATCTGACAGCATTCACTCTCATTGCTCTGCTGAATGCTGGCGGGAGGGCCCCCCAATTAACTTTTGTCCAGGGCCCCAACAGACTCTAGAATAGCCACTCCTCCTCAGTCGCTAATAAGTCAGGAAATAGTTAAAATCATGAGTATTGATAGATAAATTATAATTTGTAGGATTCTGTTTTTTTACTTGGCTGTATGATTTCTCAGCCCGAGTGTGTCAGAGGAGAATGCCCTGCCCTGTAAACGTTGCCTTCTTTCAAGAATATTCTGAACTGTCTGTAGATAAATGTAAATAAACACGAGTGTTAACCTCTGGAGCAGCTGCGGCTGATGTAGAGGTTCCTGCTTTAACCTGCGTCTGTTAGCACAGCTCATATTTAAACACTGTCTCTGTGAATCACGTGATTGCACCAGAATGTGTGATTCAGGGAAATAACTATTTCCTCTTTTCTGTGTCACATGGGGTCAGGAAATATCTTCTCTGCTTTTTCTATTCCTGCCAACAGGAAACATTAAAACCTGTTAAAACACTTCACAACACATCTCTCTTTACTGCGATACAGAATAAATCATATTACTAATGACCATGAACACGTTTACTGCATGTTGAAACAGCTCAGTCTGTCCAATAGGTGCTTCTACCACAGCCATTTATAGTTTAAAGTATACACACTAAAAAATGCTGGGTCAAAATTGACCCAATACGGGTTAACTCGTAACCCAACGCTGGGTCAATCTAGCACCTACACAGCACTGGGTCATTTTGACCCAGCTGTGCTGGGTTGCAAAGAATGACCCAGCTAACACAACAAATATTACCACCCTTGTCCGTCTACAAGTGCTGGTTTTAAAGGTCCAATCAGTAAGATGTGTAGTGAGTGAAACGATAAAGGTATCTTACTATATGATCAGACATTAATGAAACATGTTGAAGTGCTGGCCTCTCTGACATCAATGCAGCAGCCAGTATGTCCTCCTTCTAACTTTAGATTCTGGTCCTGAATGATCTGGATTTGTTTGGACCAGAGAAGGTAGGTGGTTTTAAGACACCCCCACACCGCCGTTTTGGACGCCCCTCGGTTTGCCAGATATAAGAGCAGTTATCAGGTCAAACCAACAGGTGTTGCAGCGATGGAAGCGGGCAAGAGAAGTGGTTCAGATAGAAGTGATTGTACCCGACCTAAAAAGCCTCTGCATGTTAATAAACTCCACGAGCAGAAATGTGTTTTGCCTTCAAATTACTCTCTTGAAATCCACGGGGTATTTGAAAGTGGTGCGTTTTTTGTGTTTTTCCTTTATTACGCTGTCACATGGGAAGTAATGATTCTTTAGACCAATCAATGGAGTGAAGTGTATCTAGCTCCACCCTTTAGGGTCGAATCTGCATGCTTGGTACCCCCACAGAAGGGGAGCAAAAAAGTAGGACAGTATGGATCAGTTATTTTGGGACTCTTCTTCCAAACTTTTGACAGAGGAAACAGCTGTGTACCGTACCGCTTGGTGAAATGGGGCTTAACACTACAACAAATAGGCTACTCGAACTACAAATATGGCTACCACAAGTACACATAATAACAATATTATTACTACAACTACTGCTACTACTTCTGCAGGTTTTACACTCCTTCTAGAAGTACAATATGTTTCCCTCGCTGCAGCTTTGGTTGTAAATATGTCTGAAAAGCTGCAATTTTCAAAAGCTTCAGTACTTTTCTTTAGCTACTATGGATCATTAAAATAACAGATTGTATTGTTTTAGAAGACGTGGTGTCATAAAAGTATCGACAGCTGCCATAACTTGAACCACATCTACCAATAGCATTTCAATGTGCGTGCATGTTGAAGTGCCGACGTTTTGTGTGTGTGTGTGTGTGTGTGTGTGTGTGTGTGTGTGTGTGTGTAATTAGCACACAAAACCTGCCTGCATTACAGGGCAATTAGACTCCACATCACATCCACACATGTAAGCCCCTCAGTGATCTGTATTCCATGTTTGTTTACTCTGTTTATTTCTCTGAATCAGACCCCCTCTTCACTCTTTTTAACGTCTCCTTCCTGTGTGTGGCACAGTTTCGTTTCACGTCGGTGGAAAAAGATCACGCAACCTTTAACAGCAGTTTTTATCGCCCTGAGTTTCTGCCTGCAGTCACTTTCGTTTCCTGAACGCTAAAAGACAAAGTCTAAAAAGTTACCGCTTGTAGACACGAGTGTTTCCGGCCAATGCTTTCAAAATAAAACGTTTTTTTTGTTACAGGGGTTTACAAAGTTTGCCACGGTAAGGACCCCCAAACATAATTAGCCTCCGACGGGGACCTCTCTCCTGCAACATTTCATTTCAGCTCGAACATGACGACTGGCATGAAAAATTCTTCATATATTTCCTTATTATACAAACTGTATAAACTTTAGTGATCTTGTTATTCATTCATTGTCAATGTCTTTTTTTAAAAGTTTGACTAAAGTTAAGTTTTTAACTTTTCGCGTCTTTATGGTAGATACAGGACAGTGGATAGAGTTGGAAATCAAGGAGAGAAAGAGTGGGGAATGACATGCTGGAAAGATGCCACAGGTCAGATGTGAACCCAGGCCTCCGCCTGCAGGACCAGCCTCCATTCATGGGACGCCCACAACAACCATTACATCAACATTTACTAAAACAACCTCTCTATAGAAGTACCCGAACACAGTTTGTTGTCATTGGGTTCAGATCTTAGAAAAGAGAAGAAAATTCATCGGCTGACTTCAGAGCAAACGTAGCGAGTAATGAGAACATTCATAGAAATGTCGGGGAGTCAGAAGTGCAACATGAAAATGCATCAATGGGATGGTAAACAGACTTGAGCTTGTATATTTCTTTTCTCGTCTTCTGTGCTGTGCTGTGTAAAGAGTCCATCAGTATTAACTCATCCATTCACACACATTCATACACCGCCGACCAAGCAGTGGGAGCAAGTGGGAGCAGCTGCCACAATGATGCATGTCCACCGAGAGCTTCCATAGTTTTTTCAAATCTATGAACACAAAATTGGGGGGGAAGACAACCTGAAAAAAGATTTGAAAGATCTAAAATAACTATGGCTTTAATGTTATTATTTGAATCTCAAACCAACACTCCCAACCCGCACTCTCAGGTCTTCTTCTGTTCAGCTCACTGCACCGCTCGTCCGCTGGGGTCAAGAGCCTTCAGCTGCTCTGCCCCCTCGTTGCCGTCTCTGGAACTTCCTCCCACCAGACAGACATCGGTACATCAACTCTCTCTCCAAACAAACCATCTTTTGAAAACTGGCATAATCAGTCTGACCGTTATCCATCCCGTCTCATGAATCCTCTTTACGATTTTATACTCTGTTTTTATTATTATTATGAAACCCTCTTCCAAATATTCACATTTTAAAATGAATAAAAAACAATCTAAATTAATTTATAATTCAACAGGAATGATATTATAGTGCATTATATTGTTTTTAAATCAATGTTTGTGTTGACTCTTGTCGATGCTTTTATTTCTCAAGTCACACTTCCTTTTGACGCGGGGCATCTCGCGCAGCTTGACGCAGCCGTTTGTTTATGAGCGCAGACGCAGCGTTGTTTTGCTCACATTGATCCGGAGTGAGCAGAAGGTGAACAGAAAGTACCTGTCAGCATGAAGAGAAGCGCTGTGTTCGTGTTTGTGGCCGTCTGTGCTCTCTCAGGTAACACCTTTATTCTCTCACACTTCACGCGCTCATCTGGTCAGGACGTCTTTTTTTTACTACTTTAATAAAAACCTTATGTTAAAAACTTTTTTTTTTTTTTTAAACAAAGCAGAATAGTTTTCCTTCACTATAAGTCGGGGCTTTGATGTTTTTAATGATATATTGCAGCTTTCATGCGGTTATAAAGCAGTCTGTTCAGGTTCTCTGTCCTCGCGCTATAAATGACACTCGTCATGATTTAATGAGACCTCCGCGCGACTTCCTGGATTGTTTAGGGAACAGAAAATTTCCGCAGTCTGTCGAACTTGTTGCAGGTCTGAGTCACATGTCTGCTGGCAGAACACAGATGTTTTTTTAAAGGGATAAGATGAATCTGCAACTTTTCAAGCAGAAACTCCGCAGCTGCAAATAAACACACAAACAAACAAACAGCAATGATTTCAGGCTGGAATAATTGAATCATTTATATTATTCAGAACACTCAGAACAAGAGCTTTAAAAATTACATTAATTAGACTTTCAACAGGGTTTTGGATAAATGTACGGAGGCCCAGAGAGGACATGCTCCAGTACATTTTATTCACTAGGATTTTCTGTGATTTCAGCCGTTTCCTCAAATCTCGACTTCTTTATCTCGTAAATCAGGATCAAAACGCTGATTTAACACACTGAGAATGACTTATGTTCTGAAGCTCTTAAAAGATTGACTCGTTATCCCAGGAAAAGCAGAGTCGTTTCCCCGAGGTCAAGACCTCCACTGACTGGCTATTTTTTCACGCCATTACTTAGATTAGAAGATAAAACACCTGTTATGGTCAAAGAGAGGGAAACGCCCGCTGCACACAAGATGATTTATGGCATTTATGGTCTTGGTCTTGACTTGGTCTGGATCCCTAAATGTCACTCTGGTCTCAGGTATGTCTTGGTCTTTGTTAGCGTGATCTTGACTACAACACCAAGATTGTTTATAATTTTCTCTTCAAAAACAGGTTTAAACTTGTACAGATTATTCTTGTACTTTTAAACCCGGGGGACAATATTTTTAAATATTTGGTCTCTTAATAATTTAGTCACAAAAAGTTTTGGACTTACTCCACAATTTCTCATTACTGCTGAAATAACTGGAACATAATCCTGAGCCTGGACAAAGTTCATCCACTCAAAGTTGTTGTTTTTGTCCCTGAGAGGCTCTAAAAACAAACTAAGCGATAAAGGCAGAAACTGACGTCACATCGCTCCCTTGAAAGCCACCAAAATCCTTCTTTGAGCTTGCATAGCACAGGAGTTGCTGCTCTGCCACTGACTTGATCGGTTGGTTTGTTCATTTTACACCAGCTACCCCACGAGACGATTTTCAAATCGCACAGATTTTAGACCGTGAGACCACACATCTTCAGTTTGTAGCAACGATTCCACGCTACACAAGATCTCGCTGAAGCATTTTTTAGTGTGTATACTTTAAACTATAAATGGCTGTGGTAGAAGCACCTGTTGGACAGACTGAGCTGTTTTAACATGCAGTAAACGTGTTCATGGTCATTAGTAATATGACAAATATGACCGTCAGAAGAAAAACAAACATGGAGGACGGTGGGCATCGTCAGCTGGCTGTCCTGGCGTGTGTTCTGTTTTGCAGCAAAAATTAGATAAAGAATATGAGTGAATATTGTGTTTATGGTCACTGTCATGCTTGTGAGCTGTAAAAGTGACGCAACAATCGGCTGGTGATGCTTCCCGGTCTGCTCGCTCTCATTGGCTATTTCAGGGATTTCTTCAGAGGCAGCCCGACGCCATCGCAGTGTTTCCCCTACCATTATATTGGGGGGACAAAGTTGCACAACAACATGAACAATGTGACCAGTTTGGGCAATACTAGATCAGCAACTCTCATTTTAGTCAAGGTAAAATTTCAGTTTTTGTCAATGGAGTTTTGTGGATTTGAAAAAGACCAAACACATCCTCTCCCTCTTGAACAAAAGGTCTCTCTCTCTCTCTGTCTGTAGGGATCCTCTCTGTATTGTTGTATTTTTAGAGGCCGTCCTGTGATTGGTTGTACTCTGGATGTAACGGCTGCAGGATTACATTGCAGCCGTTACATCAGGATCTACAGCTGCTGGCTGAGGCAGTCTGCTGGAGCTTTTCCAAAACCTTAACTTTTAGTCCATAAAACCCCAAAAATGAAGAAATAGCTCCCAGGTTTTTAGTGTTCAAATTAACTGGAGGTCTTTGTTGATCCGTCTGACTCAAACTGAACTCAGTCAGCAACATAACAGAGGTTACCTGACACCTTTTAGTAGAGCTGAGTCATAACTGAATCTTTTGAATAAGCACTTTGTGAACTTGGAGATAAACCGTGCACTGAAAACAAACACACTGCTGTGCCATAAATGTGTGTCATGACCTGTATACCTCAGCTGAAGTCAACATGACGCTGTCATGGTATTAAGCAGAGTCAATCTTATTATCATTTCACAGTTTGTTTACAAGACAACGTGTTCAAAGACCTGCAGCAGACATTCAAGGTGAACTCTCCAAAAACCAGGTCACTTGAATAAGAAAAGCTCCAGATGATTAATGCCCGACCCTGCAAATCTCCTTAAACTCAGGCTGTTTATTTTAGCCTTTTTTGGACTCTGCCACCATTAGGTCATTTAGAAATCCTCCAATGTGACCTTTTTCCTTTCGTTTATGCAACTCATATTGTTATCAGCGAGAAGTAGTATTTTCTTCTTAACCAGGATGTTCATTCAACAGGAAACGTGGCATTTAAAGGAAGAATATGCAATTTTTCACACTCAAATGTATCAGAAATCAAATATGTCCTCTGAAAATAACTCTGTGAGTCATGACTGTCTACAGTGAGTGTGACACCCAAGTCCCACTATCTGTGATGTTTTCCCAGCCGTAACTACAGCGTGCTTACATGGATGGGACGGCCGGCTACTCACCTTGCATATAAAAGTTGTTAAATTGAGGGACTAGAGAAAAGAAAATAACATACTGTACTTACTGCTTAATTGAATGTCACATAAGCGTTTTTAGATTACGATCATTTTGTGTAAATTTACATGCAGTGTGAAGATACAAGCATAATAAAGATTGCTAGCATTAGCATGCTAACACAACAATGCAGTGATGCAAGTATGAAATCTACAAAGTAAATAAATGAACATCTTCTGCTCTGAGTATCTTTTCCTGCAACCGAATCAGAAAGACAGTTTGGCTTATTGTTGCTGACAAAGAGCAATTAAACTAATTGGAAATAGGAAGAAAGAAATGTGCAACCGAATGCTGAATGTTGTCAGAGGTCTAAATATTTAAAAAAAGGAAAAGGACTCATTGCCGAAACCAAAACAATCAATTGTTCAGAAGTCTAAAAAACTCCATTAATGTCCAATAAAACTCCAATGTATAAACCAGGAAGAAACCCAAGGAGAAGCTGCAGGAAAGGAATATACCTGGTGGGATAAGAACTACAAAGTAAAACGGGAAACACTTAAAGTTTAAAGGCAGAGGTGGTGATTTCCTACAGATATACTTTTTTAGATTTTGGTTGAAATTGTCTTTAGGTCCTCAAAGAAGAAATAAATGAAAATAATTGACTGGCAAGGGCGACATTTAATCATTTAGTCGCACACATTCCTAATAACAGCTATACTTAAACGCATGAAATTATAAGTGTTGAGTTTTTAGCTTGTTAGTTAGCTCCCAAATGACCAAAAACAACTATGAGAAAAAGATAATCAAACCTACATCAAGGGACATTAGTCTACCCCATTTGGCAGTTAAAGTTATTACACCAACACAGTCAATGCATGCTTCCCTTCAGTTCCTTCAGGGCAAAGCTAAACCAATCGTTAACCATGCAGGTATTTACTGTCAAGACTGTCCTTTGTGAAAACAGTCCCTTTAAAATGTAGTTTTGTATCTGGAGCTTCAGAAACTGTTTCTTTGAATGTCCCGCTGTAAATCAAGTTGCTGTAGCCTCCACTGCCGTTCAGCTTACCAAATAAAATCTATTGCTGGTAGACGTAAACGGAATCAGTACTTGAGCAGCAGTTCAGGAATGTTGAGTCAGATTTCTCTTTATCCTGCCAGATACAGAGAGATTTAGCTGGTGATGATAGGCTAAATCAGCAAGCTGGGAACTGCTTTGGCAGAAGCTTAACTGTAATGGTTCCTTCTATGTATGTAAAAGTCCCACCGTCCATTTTTGGGGAGTTGAAGTTGGGAAATGGTGTATGCAAATCCAATTATTTCATTTGTCTCTCTTTCTCTTTGTTTGAAGCACTGTCATTGGCTGAAGATGAAGTGGAATCCGAACCATCTGTAACTGTGGCCCCTGCCATTGAGTTTAGCCCGGCAGCTTCAACAGCTAAGACTACAACCAAAGAGCCTCCAACTACCAAGCCCCAAACAACCAAGGCTCCAACTACCAAGCCCCAAACTACCAAGGCTCCAACCAAGGCTCCAACTACCAAGCCCCAAACTACCAAGGCCTCAACAACCAAGGCTCCAACTACCAAGCCCCAAACTACCAAGGCCTCAACAACCAAGGTTCCAACTACCAAGCCCAAAACTACCAAGGCCCCAACAACCACTGCCAAGCCTACAACCTCTCCTCCTAAACCTACTCCCTCCACCAACTTGACTGTTGGAAACTACACGGTGAAGAAAGACAAATCAATTTGCCTGATGGCTCAGATGGCACTGCAGATTCGCCTCGCAACACCAAAGGTACAGATCAGCAGTCACGAGCGAAAAACGTGCATTTCACGATGTATTAAACCATTTAGCAACTCGTGAACATGAATTGAACTTTCTGTAAAAGACGATGATTCAGCTTTTAGCACAGCAGTTGTGTCAACATCCCATTTTAAGGAATTGAGAAATGTCTTTGGGCAAGTTTTGGTTTCCTCCTCATGATGACTGTGGATGTTCTGTGTCAAATGACAATTATTAATCATACATGACAATAGTGTTCCTACCTTTGAGAATGTTCTGATACAAGCTGTTCATTTTTCAGGAAAATGGGACCTTCATCGTTCAGCCAAATTCAACCAAAGTGGATGGAGACTGTAAGGAGCCTAAAGCTAACCTTACCCTCACCTTCAAGGAGGGCTTCATCACCTTCCTCTTCAACATGGTACTTTGATTTTCTCCTCATTTTAAAACATATTAAAGTATAACTAGAGATCTCCAAAGAGGAGGCAGTTGAGCTCAAGTTTAACACAACTAAGCCGATCAGTGTTTTAAAGAGCAACATTTAGTTTGACTTGCAATTTATGTATAGAAACTGTAATCAGAAGAGATTTTTCAAAAAGGGGAAGTTCAGTCCACAAGCTTGCTGTAAAAGCATGTGACAGGGAGAGTGCCTCTCTCCACAACTCTTGTGTGATTCATTTTGTGTTTTTTTCACGTGTGTCATCGCCAAATTACTTATATAAACTGTGTGATGACATGAGCAAATACAGGCAGGTAACCTTTATCTCATGTTCATAAACTTTAGAAATGCCCTGCAACCAATGCCGTAACTGTGGTCCATGACAACAGACCTTAAACAAGGGTTTTGTTTTGTTTTGTTATCCTTGTTTTGAATCAACTGCCAAACCCAATATTGGCTACAACCATAGATTGTTTATAAGTGAATGTAGCGACTGTCATGTCAGGCATTGGTTTGAGGACTTTTTGTGGCATTTTGGGCAATTGCCATGTTGTTATTTAAGGGCCTAAAGTCCAAAAGTGACCATATTTGGCCAAGAGGGTGGGGCTACAGAGGAAGGAGGATAATCACTTAACGCTTGCTTGGTTGGAAGCAGCTGCCATGTTGATACTTTTATCATTTTAGATAGTAGAAAAAAACTGTTTCTAAAGGGCCGACATCAAGTTCTTCAGAGTTTCTTTTAGCAATGTGTCAATCAAACTTCAACCATTGGTGTTGCAAAAACTCAACCTACAGTCTTGACGTTTGGAGCCAGAACTGACCATATTTGGATTAGAGCATGGAGAGGGAGAGAAGCATGGTGTTAGCGAAGTCTGGTTAGCAAATATGTCATCTCAAATGGGATCCTTATTTTGGCTAGCACAAATATGGACCATATTAAGACAAGAGGGTGGAGCTGGAGATGAGCAAGGGGTTATCATCTAGCACTAGCACAAGTTTGCTCTGTTAGCTTCTAGCCCTGTTAGCAGGATTTATCCTTGATTCACAGCAACGTTCGTTTTAAATTGGAGCGAAATTGGGAAATTGGATGCTTTGCTTGATCAGGCTTTAAACAAAAGAACACAAAGCTAACTTGTAGCAGTGTGGATTAGTACAACTGGATATTAACAAAGTTTAACAAAGTATTTAGAAGGTCAATGTTCAGGTAGCAGCTAGCCCAAACCAATGCGTCACATTTCATTGCATTTGGGTTGTAAAGTACTTCATGTAGCACCTTGCAAACATGTTGAAAACTTGTCCCGTTTTCTTTCTTGACATCCTCAGAGCTCTGAAGACGTCTACGTTCACAATCTGTCCTTCAGCCTGGCCTACCCCTTAGCCAAAGACGGTAAGTAGAATTAATCACATTTTATTCCACTTTCTCAACATGATTTACTGCCGTATTATTGACTAAACTTTAGACTCTCTAATTGGGTCACAGCGTGTGCACTGATATTTCGGCTGCTGCTGGGGGTTGTGCAACTCTGGCAAATATTAACATAGACAAGAAGCATTGGAGAGCCAACTACTTCCTGTTTTGTGTGTGTGTGTGTGTGTGTGTGCTTTCAAATAGGGTTTAGAAATAATCTGTGGAATTACTGTTAGGCAAGTGAATTACTGTTAAGCAGGAACCAACCAACCTACTTTCAGTGAAATGCGGTCCAACAAGTTTGCTTCTATATCTGAACATCAGTCTTTGTTTTGATTTGATGTCCTGAACACACCTAAGCTTTGCTTTGTGTCCCCGCTGCAGCCAACAAGTTCAATGGCTTCAACTCGTCAGTGCGACTCTTCGCCGCAAAGATCGGACACTCCTACTCCTGCAAGAGCGAGTCAGTGAACATCGGGAATGGACTGTACCTGGACATCACCAAGGACAGGATGCAGGCCTTCAACCTGACCAAGAGCAATGAGTTCGGCCTGCGTAAGTGTCCTCATCAGACTCAGTGGTATTTAAGGCGACAGGTTGGGTTAGCTGTTAAACATAGGAAAACATGCACATACATCACTCATAGGAAACATATCACTGCTCTATCAATCCTTTACTTTGACTGAAGGACTTCTACTTGTAGTGGAAATCTTTCACAGTGTGGTAAGAGTACTACAGACATGTTGTCACAGGAGAGCTGGGATTTAACTTTTCAAACAGCTTTGTAAACATCTTCATAAAAGGAAGAATTATGAAACCACATAATAAACAATAATACGTTTATTTAGTTTAGTTTCACAAAATATTACCACAACGGTGATAACAGCAGTGCAAATTTTAAAACAAAGAACACAGAAAAACTACATTTCTTGCTAAATTACATCTTATAATAGCATCCAGTTTAAATGTGGACTAAAGCAGATTTGAAAAGGTGAGTCTTAGAGTGCATTCACACCTGAGCTTTCTGGTGCTCTCTGTCAGATAGTCCGTTTGGTTTGGGGGTTTGTGAACGCTCAAATGAAATCTGGTGCAGACCCAAGAAAAAAATTGGAAGTCTCATTTAGCTTTTCAAGTGCACCAGCGTTCAGTTCGCCATCAGTGAGATCGAAGTCAGAACCAAACAAGGGGAGTGAACCAAAAAGCAGTGCATTGTGGGTTGAAGCATTGCTAACAACACCAGTCCTCCTTGCAGGTTAACGTCCACATGCCCGTGCTAAATGTGGTTACATCACAGCAGTTTTGCACGCATTGTGGCGGCAGAAAACTAGTGAAAGCAAGTGGACAATCAAAATACCTTAGACGTCCTACCTCTAAACAACACAAACATTGGTGACTCGTCAAGAAAAACTTCTACTGTGGATCCAGTACTGTAACAGTCCACACTCGTCGGTGATGTAATGTTGACCAAACGTGTACAAGCTGTTGTCTTAAATCAAACATGAGCAAGCACAGATTGTGTCACAAGTTAACACGGCAAGCTCGTCTTTCTACTCGACTTCCAAGCTGTGTTTGAACGCCTCCCTCAGACTGTGTGTGTCTCTTTAAGACTGTGTGTCAGTACAAACACTCCCCAATCCATGAGATTCATAACGACAGCGTGGGGCCGGACGATATAAATCTTGATTTTCTCTCTAACTTACTCCACTGCTCCTCTAGGGCTCCCGTAGTTCCTCCCTTCCCCTGTCGTTCCTCCCCTCCCTCGTTGTTCCCTTCCTACAGAGTGGCTGAATGGCCTCAGGTATGTGATAACCAGCCACAAGTATTCTGCTGAAGTTACTCTGCCTCCTCTGTACGTCTGCTGGATCCTGAAACTACACATACACTTTGACAAGTTCACAGATCACACTTTTACCCCTAAAGAGAAATGCAGGTTACTGTACTAACCCTCATTTGTTGTAAGATTTATTTTTTGGGGCATTTTGTGCCTTTTATTAGAGAGTCAGGACAGTGGATAGAGTCGGAAATCAGGGAGAAAGACAGTAGGGAATGACTTGCGGGAAAGGAGCCACAGGTCGGATTTGAACCTGGGTCGCCCATTTAGAGGACTACAGCCTCCATACATGGGGCGCGCGCACTAACCACTGAGTCACCAGTGCCCCATTTGTAGTTCTTTTGAAGAAGAAAACAAACCGATTAAAATCTGAATCCAGTTTGGTGAGAAAAAATCTGATTTTATTTTGAGGCAAAATTGCCCGGCCCTAACGACATAAATACTGCCTTAAAATGTTGGACTGACTAAAATGAGTCGTTTTAGACAAACATCTGCAAAGTCTCTTCAAAGGGACTCTTTCCTCGTAACCTGAACGTCTCTGAACGCTCTGATAAATTCTTATAACCGGGTAGCGAGCAGCGTAGTAGCGTGATTATTATAAACAAGGGTCCTCAAAAGCCGAGTCTGCCGGTGTATCACAAACCCTTTTCACACATACACATAAACTCCGGAGAGTTTCTCAAAGATTCAGACCCCTAGTATTTTATCCGCAGAAAATCTGAGTGAGCTGATGTCTGAACGCGGCCGAATATACTCCGGAGATTTCAATTTGAGGCAATGAGAAAGACGTTTATATACAGTGACTGCCTAAAGTGTCTGCACGCGACCACTATGATCTCCTTGCACGTAATTAAACGGCTGCATTATGTTTTCTGTTCGTCAGTATGTTGTTCTCCTCTCTTTTGTGGATGTCATTCTATTGGATTACACATAGCATTGATATAAAGGCAAATATTCTCATTATAACGTCGTGTAGCGGACTATGTTGCTTCGGCCGCTACTTCGGCATTGTTTATTTACGTCACGTCTTACCTCAGGAAATCCCCCGAGCCCCCTCCCCTCTGACAGGGATAGTCCCCTGCTGTGAGGAGCATATGTGAATGGCTAGGTTGGGAGAATCTCCGGAGAAGTCCTCCTGTAAATATTTAGATGTTATCCGGAGTGCATATGTGAAAACGGCAACAGTTAAGCCCACTAGCTAACTTTCCGCTACCAGTGGCCACCATTTCAGGTCCTACAACAGGACTCTGACAGATGAGCCCACCACCATCGCACACTGCACGCCACCAGACGTGATTGGAAAATTCATCCCCATTCATTGTGTATTGCAAGGTGATTGCAGAAACTTCAGGTTGTAGAAGAAAGATACTTTAAAGACCTGAAAAAACAAACTGCGACTTATGAACTGGATTTTATGATTCTTTAGATTTAAACGTGAAACACTTAAAACAGGGTTATTTATAATTCTGTATTTACTGTGTTCAGGATACTATATGTTCAGGTCATAAGTCATAAAAGCTCCATGATGATTTTCAGAAGTTAACCTGACTCGTATGTAAATGTTGTTTTTCCCAGCTGACCTGTGTCCCGCCGATCAGCCTGATTACCGCGTCGCTGTGGCGGTTGGAGTGACGTTGCTTGTGCTCATCGTCATCGTGGTGGTGGCCTACTTGCTGGGCCGCCGAAGGAGGACCGACGGATACCAGACTCTGTGAGGTCACCCAGAGGTCACTCCTTTTTGTAAACGAAGTGATCTTTCTCAGGGGTTAAAGGGCACTTCCACTAACCTGCCTTTCTTCTGCTTTTTTTTTTTTTTTTGTTCAAAGTTATTGTTTGAACTACGAAGTTGTGTGTTTAGAAACCGGAGTCTGCCACTGCTATAACTGACAGTGATTTCTTACAATCAATAATAAACCAATCCATCTCGATGCTGTTGTAAATTTAGAACAAAGAAGTTGTTTTGTTGGAACTTTTTCCTGTATTTATATACTGATGGAAAATTAGAATTTTAAAATGGAGTCTAAATAAATATATTTTTAAAGAAATTTACATTAGACTTTTTTTCCTTTCATGTTCTGTCTCACGATTGACTTCAGACGTAAGCATTTGGACGTGGGATTGTTTAAAGGTCACATATTCCCCTCCTCTTCAATCAGTGTAATTAAGTCTCAGAGCTCCTCAAAACATGTGTGTGAAGTTTCTTGTTCTAAATCCACTCTGATCCTGTTTTTAATCATGTCTATAAACCCCTCTATTTCAGCCCTGATCAGAACAGACTGTTTCTGTGTCTGTACCTTTAAATGTAAATGAGCTGTGTCTGACCACGCAGAATTTTAACTTTGTTAGATAGCAGTAATTAAAGTTATTGTGGAAAAAGCAAATGTAAAAAGTGAAAAACTTCCAATTCAGAGTTTTAAAACCAAAAAGTTTGACTCATCCTTTTCCATATGAAGTAAAAAGCTTGTCGGTTGAGCGCTTTTGGTTTTATTTTTCCAGTGGCAGACTCCATACATTTATTGTTTTCTAAAATCACCTTTAAATTGAAGGATTGTCTCACTTTGTTACAAAAAATAGTTTTTTTCTACTGGCAGGGGCGTGTCCAGGCTTTTTTAACTGGGGTGGCCCACGTGGGGCACTGACTTATGTGGGGGTGGCATGACTTTTGTGGGCACATTTAACATTTAATTATAAAAATTACACGCTTTCTATCCCCAGAACAGAACAGAAATGTTCTTAACTTTCTTCTTTAGGGACTCAAAAACAAAGATGTTCAAAGTCACAATTTTAAGTATTTAGAAAATTGCATGCAAAATTGTGAGCCGTCTGACTTGCAAAAATAATTTTATTGGCAATTAAGTCAATCACAGCTTAGAAAGTGTGCATGAAGTTTTCCTTGGAAATTTGTATGGAAAGAGCAAAGTTTGAAAAGTTTTTTTATTTGCCCCTAATTAATTTCTATTAGCCTGTTGTAAACAACCAGACTAGTGGATTGGTACTTAAGTCCCACCTCTGATTAGGCAACTAGCCAATCATAGATTTTGATTTTGGGGTGGCACCTTGGGTGGCCAATGGGATTTCAAGGGGGCCCATGTCACCAAGTACCACCACTCTTGACACACCTGTTTACTGGGACACTAAGAACAATGATGTGAATGTTGACACATATGAGCTGACATCTTCATATAAAAACTGACAAACAAGTGTCATTAGATTAAGTCCTGGTTGTCTCCTTTTTCTAACAGGTGTGTTATTGTGTAATGTGAGAACTGCTACTTTTTATTAAATATCAGTCTAAATCAATGTTACTTTATCTTAGAAATTGGATCTGGAAGTTAAGTGTAGGTACCAGATGTGCTCGGGGTCCTTCGCCTGCGTTTTTATGATGATGAAGCACATTGTGATTGTACATCAGAGTCAGTGAGAGAGATCAATGTCTCCTTATGAAAGAAAAACTCAAACACACAGCGCCCAAACTGCCTTAAATGTTAGACTCAAATCTTCTAGTGTGTAGCCAGCCTAAATTTAGATTTCAATTTCTGTCATATCTAAAATGTATTAACTTTTTCTCTACAATACTGTGATTTGTCTACGTTGTAATTGTGTTTAAATGTTTTAAAGAATCAAAGGGTATGTATTCTGGCATTTGTTTTTTGTAAAGGGAAGTTTGTTAGCATTATTAATCAGCACACATGAATGATGATTTAAACAATAATTTCATTGATTGCTGAACTAACTGATTTTGTCTTTTTTATACTGTATGCAGATGATGCTTTCTTTTTTTAAAGAGCTGGGTGTGCAATGAGTGTAACCTGATTGAGGAGTCCATCTCACCAATATAATTCCACCTTGATTTGCCAATTGTCTTTCAGGAATAGTTTGACTTTTTTGGGAACACACCTATCTGTAATATCAAAATTTCTAGCATTGATGTTAGCCAGAGAGTAGGCAAAGGGTAGCCAGTTAACTGTAACGTAGCCAAGCTGAATTTAAATGGCGTTGGTTGTAATTTTCTAATTGACAGCCAACCAAATAATTGGCCAGATCAATGAATCATGAATTCTGCTTCTCAACTGATTAATGAGCTTCTTGCTAAATGATCAAATTAAAAAGCAACATTGATTATCCTCCTGTAGCTGTAACAGTTTAATGAGTTCAGGTTAAATTACGTTTTAAATCTTTTGTCACAGTAGGCCTAAATAAAAACATGTTACATGGAGGTTATTCACGCTTCACTAAAAGTTGACTCCATGGAGTAAAATAGTCAAATCCTCTTAAAATCTCAACTTCTGGACGAATAACACACACACACAGACAAATTATGTATCTGTGTGGGTTCGTTTCTTTCTTTTACTTTATTAATGACAGTCGTAGTACAGTGAAGATTACAGCCGCTGTTCCCAGTTCTGTCCACCAGGTGCTGCTGTTGAGTTAGAAAGCGAGGACACCCTGTGTGTGTTTGATTATCCACAGTGTGAGCACCTTTTCCTTTGTTTACTTCCTGTACCAATAAAGACTCATATATTTCTACTTGTGTGTGTTTATTTATGATCTAAGTATTACAATGATTTCATTTACTTTTCATTTGGATTTTTATTGTTTTCTTCAAACACCAAAGACAGGATGGTCAAACACTTACAGTAATTATAATAAATACAGTCAATATTTTCATACAATACTCCTTCATAATAATCTCAATCAACTCTGGGGGAAAATTATAAATATTAATGTAAAGGAATAAACACATAATTCTGCATATGTTGAATATACAGACACATTTTACATCGGTTCAACCAATAATTAAAATAAAATACATTTAAAGATGACATACTGAAACGTGACAACTTAATTATATTAAGATATACATAAAAAAGTTGGGAATGATTGCAACAGTTTACATGGTGATGAAGACGGTGCATAAATCTGTTGTTGTTAAATCGTCTATTTTTATGCTAAATGAGAAAGTTCAGTGAAGGGAATCAGCCAATCAGAATCCTCGTATCAAACAGCTGATCGTGCAGATGGACTCGTGTTGCAGTCTATGGTTGCAGGACGGACTCGGGGCGGGACTCGGACACTCAGATCCACAAAGTTGTTGCAAAACTTCCTGCAGCCTCCGAAAAGACGCGGAAAACGGGAAGACGTCAGTTTGAGGACATTTGATCGGACTTTCTGTGAACATGGCAGGTAAGAAGAGACGCTTTTTCAAATCAATATCTTTGCTGAAAGAGCTCAAACTCTGCGTGGAGATTCATGTTTGTTCAGAGTGATGAAATCCAGATGTTGTTTTCAGCTGGAGAGCATGACTTCCGCTGCTCGAGTTCTGCATGCACTTCTCTTTTACCCCCATGCAGAATAGAATGGGGGTAGGCTAATAGAAATGCGATGAATGTCGATATTTAACACCTGTGTTCGTTTCCAGATGAAGAGGCCGTGATGGAGGAGGGCATGAGTGCCGCTCAGAGCCCTCTGGTTCAAGTTTCCTTCCAGAGAAACGTCAACAGGAAGCAGAAATACCTGGAGGCTGAGCCCAAGTTCCTGGGGGTAGTGTGTGTGTGTGTGTGTGTGTGTGTGTGTGTGTGTGTGTGTGTGTGTGTGTGTGTGTGTGTGTGTGTGTGTGTGTGTGTGTGTGTGTGTGTGTGTGTGAGAGAGAGAGAGAGAGAGAGTGTGTGATAATTTGAAGTGTTCTCTGTGCTGTTCCAGGTGACTCAGATCAGCCTGAGTGCTTATCAGATCCTCTGTGTGAGTGTGTTTCTGGCCAATGACCTGAGCCAGATCGACGCTGACATACCTTTCTTCATCGCATCCCTACTGGTGAGCACGAGCACGCCGTGAGATGTGAACACTCGCAGCAGCACGTAAACATTGTATAACAAACCCTGACAGGCTTCTTAACGGAGCTGACAGCTGAGACAAGAGAAAGAGGCGTGTGTAGATCTGAAATCTCTGTTCACAAATCTGTTTATGCCTGCTGTTCTGCAATCTGTGGGCACGGTTTCGCAATCCCGATTTCTTTCTTGGTAGAGGAAGGACAGCTCCACTTTATCTGGCTTTAAGGGGAGATTTACTGTGTCTGTTCTTACCCTTAAATCCAGATAAGTTGTACTTGGCAGATAAAATCACAGTGGAAATGGTTCAATCCATGTTGTCTAAAGAAATAACTCGCGTTTACAAATCCATTCCATGACCCAAAAAATGTATGAAACCGTGACCACAGTTTATGAATGTGTCAAAGTCGAGCTGCGACCTCCGCTGTAAGAAAGAATGAAGCCGAAGCTGAAGTGTAAAATCCTAATGGTGTGTGTGTGTGTGTGTGTGTGTGTGTGTGTGTGTGTGTGTGTGTGTGTGTGTGTGTGTGTGTGTGTGTGTGTGTGTGTGTGTGTGTGTGTGTGTGTGTGTGTGTGTGTGTGTGTGTGTGTGTGTGTGTGTGTGTGTTCGTTCGTTCGTTCTTCACAGGTTGTTATCGCTGGGAGCGTCGCTGTAGCTGCTCAGAACCTTCACCTGCCAACAGTGAGTTACATTCATGACAAACTAAACTTTGTCAAATGTCTGCAGGAAAACGAGCACCACTAGTCTGAGCCCTCTCCCTCTACGGAGGTCTGATGAGTCCATTGTGTGTGACGCCAGCCCACTGACCCTGCCAACGCTCAATTAGTGGATACGTGCGTCTTCCTGCAATGGTCTGCCTGCTGGTCTCAGTGATCATGACATGACAGTCAGGGGTGGATCAGTCATCAAACTTTGGATGAAGATCAGAGTTTTGGGACGACTTGACTCAAACTGCAGCTTTAACTTCCTGAACTTCTGTTTCGTTTTGTTACTGAACTGAAGATTTTCAGTTGTTTTTAAATAACAAGTTCGGATCAGAATGTTTTGTCACTATCACAACCTTCATTTGGTTCACCTCTCCTCGGCTACACCTCGCGCTGTTTGCCCTATAAATATTTGTTTGAGGCTAGACAGTGTGCAGGAGTTAATCTTGGGATTGGTAATTCTCTAAAGCCACGCCCCTCACTTACATGTACGAGCGCCGTTGCTCCAGAAGACGACCTCAGCTCATCTCTTGCATTGTGTAGAAACTACGTCGTCTCATGTCTCATTCAGCCGTAAGTAAACTCACAGTATAAACTCTGTCATCAGTGACGCGCTTTGGGTGTGAGCTAGAGCACACAAGAGGTAGAGAACGAGCAGGGAGACAGGGAGGCGTCTGATTGGTTCATCAGATTGGTACCTCGTGGCAGACATTGGTTTAAGTTTTTAGAGGCTTACAACTGCTACAGATGACGGATTTTCTTTGTTCCTTTTTCAGAGAACATGAGTTATTAATTTCTGTCAGGACCTTAAGACAAGTTCAACCAACATCTTAAAAAAGTGGATCTGGAGGAAATTACCAACCCTGACTTGAACTTAAAAATCAAAAATATTAATTTACTGTATTGAATTTCCCCCCTGTGCGTGCATGTGTTTGTGTCAGCTCAGAGCCTGTTTCGGGATGCAGCTCGTGGCGTGCGGAGCGTCCATCTTTAACATGGTGTGGACGCTGATTAAAATGGAGACGATGTATTATTACTGCTGGCACTACGATTACGACAACGCCACCATCCACATCGGAGAAATCTGCCACAAGATTGAAGTGAGTAAGAACCGTTTACACACTTATTCAACTATTTCATATCAAAAGTCATGAACTGGTGTAGTTTCTGCTCTTGGAATGAGGAAGTAAACAACAGCCCAGCGGACGCCAAACGCTGCTCCAGTGAAGCGTCCACTTAGAGTCTGAAAAAAGCTGAGTTGAGATTAATTTAGATTTTCATGATTCAGAGAATCAACAAAGATAACTGGTGGTCTCTTTGTGTGGTTTGGTCTGGTTGGGATTATTTCCTCTGTTACGATTGGATGCTGCCGGCGGTCACTTCGACCTCTGACCACTTTTTGAAGGTCTCGGTCTCCTCTTGGAATCGAAAGAATGTCTCGGTCTTAGCGTGGGGGGACTCCGGATTTTAAATCAAGACCACCACTTGTCGGCTATTTGTCCACGTCATCACTGTAATCAGAAGGAAAACGCGTCTTTCTAAAAGAACAAATAACTTCATTTCATTTGTAGTTTGATTTTTATCCCCCGGTTTCCTTCCCAGTGTTAAGCTTTAAGTGAGTTACACGCCCCCTCAAGATGATTTTTCTGTGATGTGTATGGTCTTGGTCTTGTCTCGGGTATGTCTTGATGACAACACTAGTACGAGGTTTCATAATCAGCCTCTCTCTTCAAAAACACTCAACTCAGATTTCAACTCAGAAAGCGGACTGAAGGTGTTGACTCTGTGGAGACTCACAACCATCTGAGCACGCAAACACCAACCTCCTTATATAACCTCCCAGCCCAGCTGATCGCCATCAGCTGATCGTCATCAGCTGATCATCATCAGTCAGCTGATGGAGAACATCTCAGGTGTGCTCAATAGATCCTGATGAGGAGGAAACCAGGGACAGCAGTGTTTCCCCTAGGTTTACAGCGTTGGGGGGGAGGAGACAAGCCGACACGGCGACACGACGACACAAACACTAATATAATGGTAGGGGAAACACTGGACAGAGTTCCTCTGGATTCTTCTTCAAACTCCACGGGATTTTCTTTTAGGTTTTCCTCCTCCTGTTCAAAAAGAATATCCCTTTACACACATACTCAGATATCAAAAACATCTCCGTCCACCTGAAAACACAAAACGCACTGGAAAGGCTGTCATGTGCACGCCAAGTCAACAACAGTGTTTTTGCCATTCCTCTGCACTGACAATTTTGTTTACAAAGTTGTCCAATCAGGTCGTCTCTGCTCATCACCATAGTGGAGAGTAACTGTGTGTGAGCATGTAAAAAAAATCCAGTTAGCAACGTTAGCACCAGCGCTAGTTCGGTGACGTCTGCCATCGCTCTAATCTCGTGTAAACTAAAGTGACAGCGTCGCACGATGACCTCAAGCGGAGGAGAAACCGCCACACATCGTGACGTTACAAGAACTAAACTCTCAGAAGTCTCTATGTAAAGTCTCACTTTCTCTGCAACATATTTAAATTTCTACAAACCTCTTCTCTGTTCCAGAACTCTCAGTCCCATTTCTTCGCCGAGGGGATCGTCATTCAGGTTGCTCTGTTGGCCATCTCAGCAACTTTGGTCGCCTATTGCTGCAAGGTGGCCAACTGCTGCCATCCAGCTCCTAAAGTGGTGAGTAGACCCTGACCATGACTCCCTGAAGAACCACAGACACCTACCTACCCTGCCTGAGATGACTGGGCTATATTTAAATACGGAGGCGATGGAGCAGCTTTACTTTAGGAGAAGACTGTATTTTATTTTGAAGGAGGAAGCTGCTCAATCCATCTTTAAGCTCTGTATTTTATTTTGAAGGAACAAAGCTGCTGACTCTACCTGTAAATAATCGTGTTATTTTTGTTCTTGTTCCTTTTGTCCCTCTCAGCCTGTGATCACCATTCAAGCCCCGCCTGTCCAACAGTGAGGACGCAGAAGACGGATGGACAGCTACATAATAACGCTACATTATGCTGAAGCTTCACAAATCAGTTTATTATACTAACGATGAGTCAAAGGGTTAAAATGTCACATTAACTGTAACTTTTCCTTTTTAACCTTTTTTAAACATTTATTTGCCACCAAACAGAATCAAAACACATTCAGTGACCAGCGCTAGAACATGGGTCTACATTTAGCTGTTAGCACTTCAATTGTGTTTTTTTAACTTTCATCCATTCAGCTTAATAACAGAAAAATATCGCAGGATAATATTGCAGCTTTTGATTTTGCATATTGGATTGTATGTAGAAAATATTTGTACCACAAACTTGATTTTCAATAAAGTTACTTCACTGTCATGTCATGTCACTGACCAATCAAAAAAAAAAAGGGGCGGGACTTGTGGGGAAATAATCACAATCAGACCAAACCACACAAAAGATACCACCAATCTTCTTTGATTCTCTAAATCGATGCTCACACAGGTCACCATGTGGTGGATACTGAAGCTTCAGTGTTTATCCAGCTCTGCATCAGTCTCTAAACCTTTCTGTGTTCTAACCTCTCTCCATTTTTCTAAAGCATCTCCAATATTGATCCTAGTTTGAGCACGTTTCTGCTCGTGGAGCTTATTAGAAACATGCAGAGGCTTTTTAGGTCGGTACAATCACTTCTATCTGAACCACTCCTCTTGCCCGCTTCCATCACTGCAACACCTGTTGACCTGATAACTGCTCTCATATCTGGCAAACCGAGGGGCGTCCAAAACAGCCGTGTGGGGGTGTCTTAAAACCGCCTACCTTCTCTAGTTAAAACAAATCCAGATCATTCAGGACCAGAATCTAAAGTTAGCCAGCATACTGGCTGCTGCATTGTTGTCAGAGAAGCCAGCACTTCAACATGTTTCCTTAATGTCTGATCATATAGTAAGATCACTTCATCATTTCACTCACTACACATCTTACTGATTGGACATTTAAAACAAACACGTCTTCAACAAACAAAACAGTATCTGTGCACTCAGCCGTCACTAATTAATCAATGTGAAACAAAATGACACTAAATCTTTTTATTTGTAACAAAATACATTTAAATGTTTCTTTTTCACACATAATTCATAAATAAAACAGTTTTAAAAAACTTCATGATCAGCATTTTTGAAAAAGAGTCAGTGGAAGGATCCCAGAGCGATGTTGGATTACTTATGTGTGTGTGCTCCACAGTTCATCAGGAAGGAAATAAAAGTTCATTGTCTGCAGATTCCACTTCCTCAAATCTGCAGCTCGTCGGCCCAGTGACTCTGTAGGAGAGCAGAGGAAGAAGCAAACATTCAAACCAGTGCTATATGTGATGGTTTCTGTGATGGAGTTTGGTACGGACAGAAAGTGTAAAGGCCTTGACACACCAAGCAGACGGCAAAGAACAAGAGACGACGAAGGCCGCTTCACGTCTTGGTTAAAAAGTTGCACTTGAACACACCATAAAGACTACAGCTGACGACCAACCACCACTTACGTTCTGCTCATGCGTGAGAGGAAATACCTCTCTATACCAGCAGGCGGTGGTAGTCCGTTATGATACCAGAAGACCATTTTCACACCGCTGTCGCTCACCACTCGTATTATAGGTAGACTACTAATGGAGAATAATGTCTGATAAAAAGTAGAAAATGGCGTTGGTCTTTAGTGGAAAAAGAAAAGAAGAGGAGGAGGAGACAAATAAGGGGAAACCGCACTAATGGGTGACAGCATGGATACTACAGCGGCATGCTCAAGGGGCTTTACAGAACCTGAGAGAGCTGGAGAGAAATGAAACCTCCCAACAGCCAATCAGAGAGATTCCTCTCACCGACCGCTGATTCAATCGAATCGGCCAAAAAGAGGCCGACGGGTAGAGACGGAGCCGGACACAGTAAAAACTAGGTCGACGACTGCTCACCGACAGTCCATCTAGGACCGATGGCCGGCGATCTCCTCGGTGTGTCAGGGCCTTCAGAGTGGTTTCTTTTCGTTTGAACATACAGCATGTGTGGTCAGATGTGTCGCTCATAATCAGACGTCTGTGAACATCCCGTCGTCACTCACCTGGGACGCAGACGGTGCCATCTCCTCCAGGTCTCCGAGGCAGCCGTGTTTGTGTCGGATGAGACTCCCCCACAGCACGGAGCGCCGGCATGACGGACATTCCCCCTCCACTGGGATGAGGTGCGACGCCTCCGACTTGAGGAAGTGTTTGGCAAGGCAGATAACGTGACTGCTCATCGAACAGGTCGGGTGGAAACACCTCAGCTTCTCTGACACCTGAGCAAAACAAATAAACAGTAATAGTTGTACTCATGTCCCATCTGTTAGCAAGGAGGAGGCGGAGCTTACGACCAACACTGAAGCCAGTCAGTAGGGGGAGTCTAAATGTTTTTGGCTTCACTTTGGGGGAGCTGTCATGTTGTCCATCTTTTAAACAGTCTATAATTGAGACCTTTAACTCATGAGGAAAAAATATTCACAGAGGGAATAAATCACCTGAGGAGTTTATCATAGACTTCTATAGAGCTCAACAGTGTGGTTCCCTGTTCTTTTTCTCCATAGCAGATTTGATTATTAGCCATGATGTCATAACCATCACAGGTAGATTGACCACGAGCTACCCAAGTGTAGAACGATGGTTTATGTTCCTGTAGGAAACACGAGTTCGTCTGATAGCAACCTTGTTTAAAAAAACAAGATTTATTTCCGATATCGGGGCAAAGAACTACACTACCCACGATCATAGAGTGTCTCTGATTGGTTGAGCTTGCTGTTACCATGGCAATGTTTCCCGCCCCTCGGCACCATATATGCGAACAGACTAGTTTCGCTAACACAAAATGTACTAATAACCTTGTCATGCCACGGTGAACACAACACATAGGATACACGTTATTGTCCCAAATTTGTCTTGGACTCAAAGTGCCGCAAACAACACATGTAAACAGAGAAATACAAACTCACGTCCGGGTCATGAGCAGAGCAACGCCACCGGAAAACGTCCAATGTAGGAGGACTTCTTCCTTTTGTCACATCCTACCTGTGTACAAATAATGTTTTTCGGCAAATGCTGAAATTATGACGTAATATAGACCAAAGCTCGATGTTTGAATTACTGCCAAAGTGTAGATTTAGGAATTTTTTTCTTTTTTTCTTTTTTAAGTTGTTTGCAGCCAGTAAGTGGGTCAACCTCAACGATGAGCTTCCTCACAAAAATGTCATCATGCAGACACAGTTTGGTAACCGCTGCATTTATAAAAGCAGAGCGCTGTTAACCTGACCGCAGATCAGATTTCTACCTTGACGCGTCCTCGACAGAGAGAACACCGCGTCGTCTCCTCCTCCTCTCCTCCAGACGACGGCAGTGGCGGCTGCTTCATTTTCTTGGCCCTCACGCTCCCGAAAGCGATGGGGACGTGTAGCGGCGGCTGCAGGCCCGGCTCAAACTCCATCCTGTACTCCTGTTTGAGCCAGCGGGCCGTCAGAGGCAGCCTGCTCCACGGCGCCACCCGCAGCATGTTGGAGACGACGCGCCAGTGGAACTGCAGGCTCGACTCTTTCCTGTAGCGCCGCGAGATGTGGGATAGACGGCGGGAGGAGTGAGGGTGCTGCCACGCCCACTCAAACTGAAACAACATTAAAGAGAGGGAATAAAATAATTAAAAAGATCCACATCGTTCTCTCTGCTCACTCTGCTCCCAGTGTGGACATTTATACTGGAAACTATTTTGTCCCTTCAGGCTCACTGTAGATAGTCGTCCTCAGTGTCTCCCTGTAGTCTCAGTGATGTTAAAGAAGGACACTGCTGCATCTTTGAATATCTCATTTCACTTTAACAAACTCTCAGACAGCTCAGCTGACGAGTCCAAAGTAATATCCACCTTATGACATCACACATTGACCTTATGACATCACACATTGACCTTTGTTACCGTTCCTTTGAGATGTTTGACCTCAGTTTGGGATCCCTAACCACTTCCTGTTTCTGTGCTTAACTTCATGTCCTAACCTTCCATTTACAGGAAGGGCCTTACTTTATTTCAAAATAAAAGCACACAGTAAAGTACTCTCAGCTTAAGGCAGAGCAAAACTTCAAAATAAAAGCCTAACAGGTTTTACTCGGGAAATGAACTGGCACCTCTCCGCACCAGGACTGAAACCCAAACCCAGTCCTGTCAGTCAGTCCCATTCAGGAGTGTGATGGTGATCAATGCTCTCTCTTTATGATCAATCAGAACTGTACAAAAACGAGCGTGTCAAAGCTGTTGAGGCTGAGAAAGTCTCAGAGTGAAGAAACGAGTGATAATCCTTTTCCACAGAATATTTCTGAGAACGTTTGAGCCAGAAAAACCAAACTGAGGATTTAAAATGTGAAAGTCTCCACTCGGCGGGTTTTAGGATTTCATCGAAACAACAATCTGCTTAGTGATGCATGGATCGTATTTCTGATTCAGAAAATCATAGAAGTTTTCTCCAGATACTGTTTAATACTGTGTTTGTTTGTGTGTTTGTGTGTGTGTGTGTGTGAGTGTGTGGACTTAGACGTCACAGATATTAATACTGGAAACATCTGAAGCAGCACCTTTCTGAAATATTGTTACAGAGACACCTAGAGGTACATTGGAGAACTGCAGAGGGGACCTAAGACTTAATTTTAAAGTTGATTTGAGAACATGAGCCGTTCATTATGTCGACATATATACAGTAACTGGTTAAACTGGTGACTGGACAATCAGAAATTATAGAATTCACAGCAAGTAAAACGTAACCTGACACTTTAATGGATGTTTTTAACAGATTAAAATCAAAGAGGAAGGATTGTATTTGCAATATGGCTGAAAAAAGATGTGTGATTACTCAAATTATATTGGCCCTATCTTGAAGAGTGTTTTTTAAATTCTTGTTTTAAACCCCCCCGAGGCTTTGTGATCGTTTAGCAGGAGAAAATAGCAAACAGTTTGATGAAGCATCTCATGAACATCTTTCAAATTGTTTTATTTATTTTAATTCTATATACTTTATTAATCCATGAGGGGTCACACACATCGGCCCGAAACAAAAATACACAATCAGGACCTGTGGACATGCACTAGTGGAGTGATGTTAGAGTGGGAGGTGGGGGGAGAAGACAAGTTAGGTAAAGAGGGAGTTCAACAATCAGAATCTTTCTACGACGTTATAAAACGAAGAGCACTCTGATAAGTGGCATTCAGCGCCTTGCCTTATGTCAGCAGGCTTATTTTATTTCACGTGTAGGAGCACGTGTAACGCCCAAAGTTCCTTGGGACGAATAAAGTATTTCAGATTCTAATTTTAAAAATGTACAGTCAGTTAAAAAAAACATCTCCTTACCCTCAGGGCGGCGATATCAGAGGGAAAGCCGTGTATGATGAGGACCATCTCCCTGCAAATCAAACAGAGAAAAGGCTGAATGGATCAAAATGTCTGTATGGAAAACAAATGATTAGGAGCGTTTATATTAACCGTAATAAACTGTGCAGATGATACACAAGGCAAGTCAGGAAGAATCTAAATCTGTTGGATGATGCAAAGCGGGTCCTGGACATTACTGAGGAGGAGTTAAGATGTTACACTGAAGGAAACACTGATGCAAACACAGACTGTGTCCAAGTAATAGAGCAGAATATTACAGGGGAATGGATCACATTGGGTGGACACTGTAAATATGATATTTAGTGTCCAATTTTTTATTTATTTTTAACCAGGTTGGTCCCATAAGAACCTCTTTTTCAAGGGAGACCAGGACAAGACAGGCAGCAGCAGAAACACAGAATTACAGACAGAGACACAAAGAGAGACAAAGTACAATTTACAATTATAGAACCATCTATTATATCATCTAGAAGCAGTCAGATCTGGGAGTCAGTAGTTAAAGCAGTCGAGCTGAAAACATTGGCATCCTGTAGAATCTGCTTTCATGTCTTTCATTTTACATTTAAAATAATTTAAGGACTCCAGCTCCTTGAGTTTTAAGTCATTCTGCAACAGATTCTAGGCTGAGGGTGCAGAACACCCAAAAGCCCGTTTCCCAATTTCTGTTTGAGCGTTTGGGACAGAGAGCATAAAGAGGTCCTGAGAACGTAAAGAATACTGCGTGATAAAAACTCATAGATAGTGAGGACTTATATATGAAGGTTTATCAGTGAAGGAGCCTAAAGCGGGCCATCCAACCCGAGAGTTCAACTCACAACGGTGAGTCAGAGTTTGTAATGAACCTCAAGGATGCATGGTAAGTTGTATCAGCCATATGGAGACATATATATGTATATTAGGTTAATGTACAACAATTATGTGCACTGTTGTTGAACTAATAAAATACAGCATTTAACGATGCCAACAGCCATAAAACTCAAAAGAGAAGAAGGACATAAAGAGAGTAATACGTGCAGATTATCACTGATGATTTGAACTGCATGTCCCTCCTCTTGTGTGTTTATTGAAGTGTAAATATGAAGATCATACCACGGTCCTCTGCCGCTGGTCCTCTTCGCTCCTCCTCGGTGTCTCCCGGCGTTGTGTTGTCCGATCCTCCGCTCAGGGTTCACCGTGAAGCCGATATAAATCCGTCCTTTAAATTTAGGATTAATACAGTACAGCATGTACACACCGAAGAAACTCTCCACCTCCACTACCATCGTGCTCTATCTTCATCTACTCTGACTTTCAACGAGTCTGATAATAAAACTATCATGACGTTAGCTGGCAAATAATGCCAATAACGAACTAAATAAAGATAAAATCGTTGTAAAATGTCACCAGAGAAGCACTTCACACTACACTTCAAATTAAGCTAAGCTGAAACGTTTATATTTATTTACATGAATCATTTTTTAACATTAACGTCGGCATTCTGTTAGGACCCCTTAGAAATTGTGATTTGCCACTTTAAATCTTTATTCCGCCTCTTTCATGTTCACTCCGTATCTGATTGGCTGTAGCCGCCAGTGCTCGAACGTGATTGGCTGTTACTTTGCGAAATAAGGTTTAAAAAAACATTTAAATCCAACATTTTCGATAATTATTAAAGAGAATAGAGATTAAATGTCAGATCATAAATATGGTTCTACATAATGTTTTAACCAATTTAAAAAAAGATAGTATCAAACTACTTCCGGTGTTGTATGTTGTCTGGTTCCCACATTGTCTGGTTACCGAACGGACCCGACAGCAGATGTTTCCGACTTTGGAGAGGAAACGTAGCTGACCTGGAGAATGCCTGTCTGATCATATTTGCGCTGATTTCAAGTCGCGTTTTAAATCTACTGCGGTAAATATGATTGTATGAGTGAGCACTACATCCCAGCCACCTAAGAAAAATACAAAATAAAGAAAATATAATCCATGTTCATGATCGCGCCGAGCTGGAGTCTATCTCACTAAAATAAAGTTAACAAACAATTACCTGTGTCCTGCCTTACAAGCGTGCACCACCTGAACGTTGTACATTTATCAAATCCATTACGTATTTGTTTATGATGTCCGCCTCCTGGTCACATTTTAGTTTGGCTGCTTCTACAACAACTGGTTACCTCGGGTTTATCTTCACCTACCCGTACATAAAGTCACAAAGAAAGTCACTTTGAAACCAGAACGATCTGACTCGTTATACCAGGGATCTCCAACCTTTCTTCATCTGAGAGCTACTTTCACAAAATGAAAGTGAGCTACATCACATCGCTTGCATTTATTTACACGCATTTTTTCTCTGGTGAGATCGACTCCAGCTCGACACGATCATGCATACATTTTATTTTATTTTATCGCAAGTGTCGTGTATAGTGCCCACTTATACAATCAGAAGTGGCCGTGGACATTTACATTTGAAAAGCATGGCAATAGAAATGTTCAGGTAGCTTTTCTACGATCAACCCAGCAGTCTCCTGTCATGTGAATCAAACAGTGGCTCAGTGTTTGTTTTGAAATAGATCGTCACTGTTTCAAAGTATTTATTTGTCAAAATGGGTAGTGGTGTAGAGGTCTGTTATGTTGTGGTCTGTAAGGCTGTAGTCTCGCGAAAAATCCTTTATATGTGCGGGTATTTGAAGACAAACCGAGGTAACCAGTTGTTGTAGGAGCAGCCAAACTAAAATGTGACCAGGAGGCGGACATCATAAACGAATACGTAATGGAATTGATGAAATGTCACTGTTCAGGTGGTGCACGCTGTAAAGCAGGATACAGGTGATTAGGCGTTAATTTTGTTTTAGTGAGATCGACTCCAGCTCGGCGCGATCATGAACATGTATTATATTTTCTTTATTTTGCATTTTTATTGGGTGGCTGGGATGAAGTGCTCAATCATACAATCATATTTACCGCAGTAGATTGCGACTTGAAATCAGTTAAATTATAATCTTAATCATTCAGGCATTCGCCAGGTCAGCTACGTTTCGTCTCGGTGATTGTAACATCTGCTGTCGCCATGACAAACCTTTGACGTTTGTAAACGTAAATGTAAAAAGGTAACCAGTTAAACTGAAAACCAGACAACATACAACACCGGTGTTAGCATGCTATCTATTGAATGGACTTGATTAGTAACTACAAACATCGCCGGTGTAGAATAATAACAACTGATTTACTAACGTAACCGTGTGTTTCGTGAATGCAGACATGGCGATCACAGCTGATCACATCAAAGATAAACTTATAAAGGAGCTCGCGGCAGTGCACGTGGTAGGTTTCCTGTTTATATATGTCATTAAATGTCTCGTATTTGTTGTTGTAGCTCTTAAATCACCCTGCAAGAAGTGGACAGGACACTGAAAACTTAATGTCATGGTGTTTAAACCACAGACTGTAAAAAAGAAAACAGAAAACACAGCAGCACTAAATTTACTGATTTTTAAATGCAGTTTGGTTGAGCAGTGTTTCCTTTGTTTAGCTGCTCCCAAACGTTACTAAAACAATAAGGGATATAAACAGTGCGTGTTTTTCTTAGTACAGGGGATTTTGACACAGAAATGTCAGCATGACTATAAGTTAACAATTTGTCTGTATTGTGTCTGCCTCAGGATGTGGAGGATACGTCACAAAACAGATGTGCTGCCAGCTTCAAAGTCCTGGTGGTGTCGCCCCCAGTTTGAGGGCAAGCAGCTGCTACAGAGACACAGGTACAACACAGTGTGTGTTTGTAGTTATCAATCAGTTGTTTATTTTTTAATCCTTTGGAACTCATTGTAATGTGTTTATGCTGAAGCTTAACGAAGCACTGCTGCAGACGGGGTCAGTTGAAACCAGACATAGACATAGATGTTGACCTATTAAGTTGATCCTCATTTTAACACAGCGGGAGACTAAAAAGAATGATGTGGAAGTAGCAGACTGAGCATCAGAGTCCTCTATACAATGCCATAATGAGAATATGTGTCTTTCTATCAATGCTACGTGTAGTTGAACAGAATCTCAATGTGAACTAAAGAGTGGAGAAGAACATACTGGAGAACAGGAAACATAATGCAGCAGGTTCATTAGAGCACAGAGATGGTAGAGGTGGCGTGCAGACAGTCTATGGTCGTGCAGCGATCACAGGGAATAAACGTCACCACCCCCTCCCACTCGCTCTAGGTCAGCTGTTTGTGTGATCACATGACGCTCAGCATCAAAGGAGGAGCTGCATGTGTGAACACACTAATATTGTGTTACAATGCTGGATGATCAAACTAAACGTGGTCAAAGTTTCAGATCATGAGGTAAACGTATGTTGGAGTAATCCCAGGATGAGTCTGCAGAGGGCGCTGAACGACTTGCTCTGTGAATCACGCCATAGTTCCGCGATATGAAACCAAGAATTTCACCAGACGGCTTCAAGCCTCTACGTAAACCACTGAAACCTCTTACATAGACTCTCTTCTCCCAGCTCTGGAGAGCAGCCCTCCCCTGGCAGCCCTGCAGCATTCTGCCCCCCCAGGAAGGCTTCCAGAAAGCTGGTCAATCAGAAGAGAGTGGGCACATGGGGAGGGTGGCCCTTGAAGAGACAGCAGCTGAAAGAGGCTGAAATGAGTGTTTTTACTGACTCCAGTATCAGATCAATAAGATCATTAAAGCTGCTCTAAAGGTTTCACAGACTGACAACATGAGAGGAGAACATGAGTCCCAAATAATGTTATTTGTTGATTTGAGAAGTTGTCCCCCATGTCTCAGATGTTAAACATGTTCTGTTTTTGTGCTCATAGCGTGTCTGTGTATTTTGTTCTCACAGGATGGTGAACACGTGTCTCGCCGACGAGCTGAAAGAAATCCACGCGTTCGAACAGAAGACGCTCACACCTGAACAGTGGGAGAAACAGAAAGCACAGTGACATGCGCACACACACAACCCTTACTCTCTCTGATATGTGGACAGAAAACATAAACTCTCCTTCACTTCCTGTAAATGATCAGCAGTGATGAAAACACAAACATGTTCTGGTGGCAATAAAAAACAACCTGATGATATAATATTTTGTCTGTTTGTTATTTCCTGCTAATGGCTGACGTCAGAAACATAATATTAAGACTGTTGAACATATAAAACAAAATGGATTTCAGAGCAGCTTGAACAAAAGCTTCAACGACAAAACATAGTTGACCTGATTGCCAGGTGGGCGCGGTGTAACTGTTTGTCAGGAGGTTTAAAACCCGCCTCAGCTCCAGCTCTCAGCCTGTTGTTCGGTTGACTGAAAGTTAGACTGAGACAGCATTTCCAGCATGGAGACCGCCATCGATGAGACTCCAGCGCCCCCTGCAGGAACAGACGGGTGACGTCACTCAGGCTTTGTTAATATTTACAATCAATGGATTTTAATCAATATTTGCAAAACGATATTTTGACAACCTCATAGCAGACACAGCCTCTCGCCCCCCCTGAGATCTCTGGTGCCCCCCCTAGGAGGGCCCAGACCCCAGGTTGGGAATCAAAGGTGAAGTGTGTGCGTTTGGAGGATTATAATGTTAAAAATCATTTTTATCTGCAGTATATAACAACATAAAACAATACACTTTTAACAGCTATAAAATCCAGGTGTGTATTTCTGATAATCTCTCCTCATGAACATGTCATTAGACATGCAGCTGAGCGACTCTCTGTGTGTTTTCAGTGTATTAATAAACAGGGTTATTCTTATTCTAATGTGTGCTCTTATTTCAGGGTGGACAACATGACAGTGAGTTTGTGATTTAGACCCCAGCAGTAGATTGATCAAAAACAAATCTGAATAACCCACAGAGATGAGGAGGAACTAAACCAAATACAGCCCAGCAGCTGATGTGATATCAAAAATAGTTCCAAATAGTTGGATTAGAACAGCCCAAACAGAAACGCTAGAAGCAGAACACATTATCTCTTGAATTATAGTGTTTTCAGTCAGAGCCTCATGTAAAGGCCAGGATGAACAGCTCAGTCTGCCTCGTTTACTGGCTTCATTTGAAAGAAACCGTCTTCTTTGTCCCCTAACTGTACTGCAACAGTCTGGACTAAGTCTTGCAAACTTTTCACCCAAACCATGCTATGTATGTGATGTATATATATTATAGCACTTAATTAAAACCCAAGTTATAAGTAGGATACATAAAAACTATAAAATCGTCATGAATCAAAAAAAGTTATCACAGTCAAGTCAAAGTGAAAAATTAATGAATACTGTTTAAGATATAAAGATATATTTTCATTTATTTAATAAATGGTTCTGTTCTTTTTAGCTGTTAAATATTTTTCAATATCTAGTAGACCAACCAACGTTCGAGCTGAGGGGTAGAGGGCGGGGCTTAGCTGAAGTCTAAAACAGATGGTTGGTGAGCGCTAATAGAAGCAAAACAAACAAGCGAAAAATGAGAGAAATTGTGCCTCTCCAGGTCGGCCAGTGCGGGAATCAGATTGGTAACAAGGTTAGTACAGCTTGTGTTTTGTGCGATTGAAATCGATGTATTTTAGAAAAGATACGCCGCGTCCTCTGTGCTTTTGTGAACGTGTAATTCAAACCTTAAATCTCAAGAGCTGCCCTTATGGGTTGTGATGCGTCGAATTGTAACGAATATAAATCGATTTTACTTAATTTACAAATCCGATAAATTGTGTTAATGATTTATACGCCAGTTGTTTGAAGAACTCAACCGTTAGATATCAGTTAACCACCGCGGATAGGATTGACCGTTGAGTGGTTAAAATCATTATTTTCATCTAATTCGGTGACGTAATTGTTCCCGCAAATATAGGAAGTGAGTGTTTTCGCTCGTCTTGGCCTGTAATGTTATGTAAATTGAACAAAGGTCTGCCTGTTAATGGTTGAAAAATGTCCGCAGAAGTGACCGTCCATTGGCTTGGTAACGGTCACCGGCTCTTGTTGGCGGTTAATGACGTAGCTAGGAATTTTCGAATTCATAACCAGCCAATAGGCGATGAGACTGCTGAACGGCAGGAAGTTGTAGTTGAACAATTATCTAATCAACCTCTATAGAACTGCTACATCAGCTTTAAAAATTAAAGAAACCCATACATAATGACCTTCATAAATATTAATATATTTCAGTTTTGGGAGGTGATCAGTGATGAGCACGGCATTGACCCAACTGGCACATACCACGGTGACAGTGACCTGCAGCTAAACAAGATCGATGTCTACTTCAATCATGGTCCAAGGTCCAAGGTCTTAAGGTCTATTAGATGTTTTAATCAG